GATTTCAAGGCAGCTGCCTAGTTTGGCAGCAGCCCAAGAAGGGGATTCGGTGAAAACCCTCCAGGAGAGAAGAAAAGAAAACCTAGCCAATAGGGCAATGACTCCAGCTGCACGTAGCTCTGACTTATACCAGTGGCTGTAAAACCACAGCAAACAGTTTTTTCTGTAAATTTGTGCCCTAAAAGTTGGGTGCTAGATGTCCCGCAAATGACAAAGCTCAGAGACAGATATTGGGGTTCAAGCTGAAGATCAGAAAAGTAAAGCAGCCAGTCACTAGCTCTTACCTCTGCCTCAGATGGAAATGGACGATCCTGCCCATGTGAGTCTCAGAAAGAGACTGTGTGTGAGAGCTGTCTCCTCCCGTCTTATATTCCTCTCTAGTGCTGGGAATAAATGTGTGCACCACCACTGCCTGGCCTCTAAGGCTAACTAGTGTGTCATCTGGGATTGAAGGTGTGTGTCCCAACTGCCTGGCCTGTATTGCTGACTAGTGTGACTGCTTTGCCCTCTGAGCTTCAGGCAAACTTTATTTATCAGAATACAAATAATATATCACTATACTGTGGAACAAGTATCAAATCCAACTATAAAGTAATTAGTTACCCACATAACACTCAAACTGCTATTGGACCAGTGGGCACATCTTGTCTGGAAGGTCTGTATTGTAGCATGCAGGGTCCTCCACTGGATACGACCATTGATAACTTTTCTCTGGGAGAGGCCTGCAAGGCACCTCCAGGCTCTCTGAAAGATACCTTAGTCCCAGCTTGATATCTCTATGACCTGCAAAGTGTTCCAGAAACAGGATCTTACCATCTAGTTCTGAAGGGCAACCTAGAACAATGGTAACAGCCTGTATTGTTTTGGGAGAGCTGTTGGAATTCTCCTGCCCAAGAATTCACAAGGAGGAATCACAGATTCTTAACTCAAAGTATCTAATATCCCTAAGAATGTCCTTAAGGAACTCTCAAATTTCCCTCTTAAACTTCACAAGCCAGGCTTCCATTATCTGTACTACTTTCTGCATTAATTTCCAAGTTTCCCCAACAGTCTTCCAAACATGGTTAGGCAATATCCCAAAGCAATAGCGCACAAACCTGGTACCCATATCTGCCTTAGGGTTTCTATTGCTTTGATAAACACCACGATAAAAAGCGACTTGCAGAGGAAAGGGATTATTTCATCTTATAACCCTAATAGGGACATTTTTTTTTTATCACAGAGGAGAGTCAGGGCTGGAACTCCAGCAGGAACCTGGAGGCAGAAGCTAATGCAGAGGCCAAGGAGGGGTGCCGCTTACTGGTTTACTCCCCATGGTTTGCTCAGCCTGCTTTCTTATAGAACCCAGACCCAGCTGCCCAAGGGTGACTCCATCCACAGTGAGCTGGACTCTCCTGTATCAATCAAGAAAGCTCACAGGCTGATCTGGTGGGGAAGTTTTCTCAGATGAGGCTCCGTTTCCCCAGAGGACTCTCTAGCTTGTGTCAACTTGTCAAAAACCAACCAGGACCGACGAATAACTAGCAATGTCTCTCTCCCATTCTTCAGACTGTTTCTTTTCTCAACAGCATCCAATGCTATAATGAAAGACATGTAATTTCCTGAAGTCCCATTTGTTGATTATTGGTCTTCCTTGCTGAACAACCAGAGATCTGTCTAGAAAGCCCTTGTTTATGTCTATGTGCTGAAATGTACTTTTTACTTTTTCCTAAAGTGGTTTCACATTTTCAGCTCCTATGCTGGAGTTCTTAATCTGCTTTGAGTATATTTCTGTCTGGTGTGTAAGATAATGGTGGAGTTTTATTTTTGTACATGCAGATACCCAGTTTCCCCAGAACAATTTGTTGAGGTGGTCAGCTTTATTCCAGTGTGTGTTTTTGGCACCTGTGTCAAAAAGTCAAGTGACTTTAGTTGTGTCTGGGTCCTCTCTTCAATTCCATTGATCTACGTGTCTGTTTTCTGTTCCAGTATAATGTTGTTTTTATTGCTGTGTTTTAGTAGCAGAACTTGAACTTGGGTATGATGACATCTCCCCCAGATTTTGCTTTTGCTCAAGATTGCTTTATTTACCCAGATTTTTTGTACTTCTGTATTGATTTTAAAATTTTTTCTGTTTCTTTGAAGAAGTTTTGTTTTTAATTACATTGAATCTGTATCTTGAGACCACTTGCATAATTTGTAACATTTATTGATTGATGCATATTGAACCTTGCCCGAACCTCTGACAAAGGTGAACTTGGTTGTGGTGAGTGCTTTTTCTGATGGGTTCTTGAGTTCAGACTGTGAGTATTTTGCTGATAATTTTTGCATCCGTGTTGATCAGGGAGGTTGGACTGCAATTTCATTTCCTTTTGCTATTGTCCTTCCTTCTGGTTTTGGTGTCGGCTACCTAACTTCATAAAAGGATTCTGAAAATGATTTTCCTTTCATTCATTTATAGAATAGTTTGAGATACTCTGCTGTTAGTTCTTTGTGATTCTAGTCAAATCCCCCAGTGACTCCATACGGGACAAAATGTTTTTAGTTGGAAGGCTTTAAATTATTGCTTCAATTTCACCGATTTTTATGAAGTTTTGTATTATTTTGCATGCATATAGGTGTAATCTGTGACATTAATAGAAGGGATAGGTGGAGTTAACTAGGACCAGAATTTTTGTATTCTCTGAAATTAAGTTAATATAAACTGAAGACACTGATCTCACTTAGAAACATCAACTATAATGTTCATAATAATATGGACATAATAATACCAACATTATAAATGATAAAGATAATAAAGAAAATATCTGTAAAATATGCATATACAAATGAGAGGGAATTGGCTGTTGTCTAAGCCTGCAATCCTGGGATTCTCTGTCTCTCTTTCTTTCTCTAAGTATATACATACATATATATGTATTTATACATATATGTATGTGTTTACATATTATATATATGTATATGTATAATTTAAGCAATTTCTCAAAACTTTCCCAGGAACTTGGCAGTTATGCATTAACCATCACATTAAATAACAGAAGTGCCTCAAGATCAGCTCCAGGTGAGAGCTCAGGATCCATACATGTGTCATAGCTCCACACATTTGAGCATCCTTATACTGGTATATTATTTGTGTTTTAATAAATAAAGCTTGCCAGAAGATTAAAGGGCAAAGCAGCCATACTAATCAGCCATACAGGCCAGGCAGTAGAGGTACACACCTATAATCCCAGCAGCCACAGGACTGAGCCACAGAGGCCAGGCTGTGGTGATGCAAGCCTTTAATCCCAGCACTATAGAGGAATGTGAGAAGGGAGGAGACAGGCCTCAGGCTCAGTCTTTAGTCTGAGAATTCATGGAGACAGGATCTCGCCCATTTCAGTTTTGCTTTTCTGATCTTCAGCTTGAACTCCAGTATCTGTCTCTGGGTTTTATTCTTTGGGCTCCGTGTGTCCTAAGAATACACATTTCCCAGCAGTTTTCTATTCACCATTGCAGGAGGCTCCCTCCAGTGGTTTTGACCCCTCCCTCTACTCACTGCCTTGCTTTTACCTTTCTTTTTGGAGTCTGAACTCCCAACAAAATGTCCTGGGGATGTAACTCAGTGGTGTAGCGCTCTTGTTTAGCCCAGGAATGGGGTTGGGAGGGTAAAGCCAGAGTAATTAAGTAATTAAATAATTAGTTCAGTCACAATTTCCATCTGATGACTTAAACCCAGAAAGCCTGCTGGGACCTTAGACCACAACTCCAGCGGCATAACTGTGAAGGTATAGGGGAGCTTTCTCCTCCTCATCACCCAGGATCTTCTGAGAATCTGTCACGTGGTCACAATTATTCTTAAACGCGCTTTTTCCTTTCTGAAGAAGCAGACCCAACCAAGGAGCCTGGCCCACAGATGGCAGGGCATCCTGCTCAGCTTCCTGCCAAACTGACTTCCAGCTCCCTGTTTCAGTGGTGTTGATGTGATTGATGTCCATTGGAGGAGAGAGGAAACACACATTTTCTGCGAGGTTCACCGTTGTCCACCCTCAGCTGAAAGGATCTCATCATGGGAAGAATTAAAGGCACAACAGGAACGCTAATCCTCCTTTACAGCTACCAGGCAAAAATTTATCCCCCAAAGGCGCTGGAGGGGAAAAGACGAGCTTAAATAAGACTGGATACTTTGAAATGAATCTTCAGCTTTCCGCAAATCTTAATCTTTTTTTTTTGTTTGTTTGTTTGTTTGGTTGGTTTTTGTTTTGTTTTGTTTTGTTTTGTTTTTCCCTCTTCTTACACCAGCTTTGCATTCGCGTGCCTGCAGACCCAGGACGGAACACGGCGCCCAAGCGAGAAACCCGCCCAGGCACACAGGCTAAATAGCAAACAGATGCCTGCGTGCCGAAGAACTTACTGGGCACCGCCAGAAAACAGTTCAGCCCCATCGTTTCTGGGTGGAGAAATCGCTTTATCTTCTTTGCTTGAAATGATCGGATTTAAAAGCAAGAGTTCCTTTTCCCTCGTGGGGAAGCAGAGAGCCAAATCCTGCTCCGCGCAAAGTTGCGATCCTAAGCGAAGTCTGTCGTCCGTTCGTCCGCCTCCCTCCTTTCCACCCGCTAGCTATTGTTCCCTGCTCCCTGGTTTAATTTGATTTGCTTTGATTTTGGTCCCCAGATCCAGCAAAACTTTCAAGCGTACGTTTGCTGTCTGAGCCGCGTGCGGGTATCGACTTGGGGACACCAGCTTTGGTTCAGATGTAACAGTATGGCATGGTCGCTCTTTGCAGTTCAGAAAATGTCGTCAAAACATTCCACCCCCTCGCTCAGGAACTTGACTCTTTCCTACACCTGCAAGTGACAGCTCACACTAAACAAACAAACAAACAAACAAAAAAAACCCGCCGATGACATCCAGATGGGTTGTTTGACGGTGCCTCCGTACAAGGGCCAAAGGGACGCACATGCTGGTGAGGGGTCCGCCCTTCCTTCCAGTCTCTGGTGGGGCGGGGGGGGGGGGGTAGGTAGGCAGGAATCTGGATCTGGTTAGGGGAGGGGAAAACCATGGTCCCAGACGCCTTATTCAGTCCCAATCTTCCCAGGCTCGTGGAGGAGGAGGGACAGTACAAGAGAGGAGGGGCTGGGCAGGGGTTCCATTGCCGTGCATCCCGTCCTGGGTTTGCCCCGCTGCCGCCCTCTGTAGTCTCTCATCTCGCCCACCCCAGACTCCCGCCATGAGTCCCCCTTGCGGCTCTGGCATCTATGTGAGCCGCGGGGTGGCCCTCCTGTCGGCCGGGCTGACAGTCGCGCTCTTACTGGCGCTGGTGGCTCTGGCTGCCCTGTATGGCAACTGCGCGGGCGTCCAGCCTTCGGAGCAGCATATCCCTGGGGTGACGGACACCGCATCAACCCCTCCTGGCGGCCAGGAGCAGGCACGACCAACCGGGACACCAGAGGCTGCTCATGAACCTGTGGTGGCCACCACCTCGCAAGATGGGCGACCCCTGTCAGGGCCCTGGAATCATTCACGCCTGCCGCCCTGGCTTGTCCCGCTTCACTATGATCTGGAGCTGTGGCCAAGGCTATGGCCGAATAACCTGTCCTACACGGAGAGTGTGACCTTCACGGGTCGTGTGAACATCACTGTACGCTGCACAGTGGCCACCTCGAGATTGCTGCTGCACAGCTTCTTTCTGACTTACAAGCAAGCGGAAGTGTGGGGTCCCCTGACCCTGGGCACTAGGAATGCCACTGTAGGCCGCGTGCCAGTGGACAATGTGTGGTTCGCGCAGGACACGCAATACATGGTGCTGGATCTGGGCCAGGTCTTGCAGCCGGGTAGCAGATATGAGCTGCACCTCGGCTTCTCTGGCCAAGTGCTTCAGTACATCTCAGAGGGACTGTTTCTGGACCTCTACACCGACCAGGGCCAGCTCAGGTAAGGGCTTACAGCCCAGTCCCGCATGCATCTCAACCCAGCAGTTTTCATTTGTGATGCTTCTGCCCCAAGAAAGACATTTTCTCCTCTCCTATAGCCAAAGGCAAAGACTTCCTTTTTTCCCCTCCACTGAAAGTCTGCTAAGAATAAAGATAATGAGACCCAGGCTCCCCCTCTTGTTACTTTCCAATCCTACTTCTGCTGTCCATCTGACTTGTCCGTGTGGAGGTTGTTTCACCTCCGGGGTTTATTGCTTTTGTTGTTGTTTTAAGAAAGTCTTTCTCTACCCAGAAAATCTAGCTGTCCAAACAGCTTCCTAAGGATTAACACTTTGTCTTCCCTTCCTAAGGATTAATACTTTGACCAACAGCAACTGTTAAGACCTAAGTATGCCCTAGAAACACGGCTGTTCGAACCCATGTCCCACCAAAGGGGTCAGCACCTGCCAATGCTTCTGGCCTTAGAGCTGCAGAGAAGCTAGGAGCCTTCTTTGGTCTAAGAGTCTCTGCTCACAGAGTGCTGGGTGCTAAGCCTTGCCCCATTTAGCCAGGATAGCTGTGGCTCTATAAACAAGGCCACACCAGCATTATTTGTTTCCTTTTCTGTTTGTTTGTTTTACTAAGGTTTTGCAAAAGCTTCAGAACAGCAATTCTTTGATCTGTTCCTCTCCTTTCGCTGGCATTCTGTGGCATCTGGCGTGTGCGCATAGCTGAGCCTGGCACTTCTGGAATTCCTCTGGTGGGCTTTGTGAGCCCACATAATTGTACACATGGTCTTCTTACACTCACTTGTGAAAATGTCTCTAATGGGGGGTGGGAACTCAAGAAGTTTCTCTCACATTGCTCTGAGGTCACACTCCTGAAGCCCTGACAGTGTTGTGAAAATCGGATGATAACTTCCCCCATTCACCCATTGGAGGATCATTTGCAGGCCGCATACCTTCGTGCGTGATGGGCTTTGTTAGAGACCATGTTCCGAGAAGCTCCTAGATGCTGGGGGCGGGAGCCACACTGAAGTCCACACTATTCTGCTCCTTACCCGTTTTTCAAAGTTCCCAAGGTCTTCAATAGGTTTAATGAGTTGCCATAGTAGGTATGCAGTCTTTGAAAGGATGATGTGTTGGGTTTCCGTTTTTCGGTGCTCTAATTCTTGAAAAACTACTTGAAATTATCTCTTAAGGATCATGTGTGAAGCAAGATCTACTTCACTGAGACTGGCCTGATACACCTGTGCCTTAGTCCCGCAGAGGGAAGAGCTGGAATACTGGGCACACCTGGCAGAGGTGTCTACTGTCCACAAATCTTGGCTTGTTTGCTGGGCCCTCCCTTCCTTCTCTCTGTCCTGGCGGGGCTATACCCAGACAAGCTAACCTGGGACAGGAGTTCCTATCCATTTCCCTATTGTACTAGTTAATAGGCACCAGATTTTCAGAACATCAAAGCCCAGAGTCTAGAATAGGGGTGTCTGAAGACATACGACCAGCACGTTGTTCTTCCTTTGCTTCTAGACAAAAAGATGCTTGAAACCAGAGTCTCAAAGAACCTGGGCACAGTGATTGGCGGTGGCACAGTGAACAGTGGGAGCTGACCAGGCCCTGGGTCACCTGTTGGAATGATCGGCTGAAAACTAACTATGCTGGCTGAGCCTGTCGCCGCACCTCCCCGAGTCTGTTCCTGGAATAGACACAGTGAACAGTCAGCTTCAGAGCACTGTGGCAGTGGATGAGACAGGCGAGACCTATCAGTGAGAGGCACACAACATGAGCTGTGGTGTCTGTGGGTAGCAGGTCAGCCTAATCCTTCTAGGGTAGGCTTGTTATCCCAACCCAGAGACTGCCAAGTTCTGGCCCCTATGACTCCAAGAAGGCTGCCAGGAAGGGAACCACAAGGGGCTGGAGAGTGGGGAGTTCTCAACGAGCAGGTGTGGAGGCTCAGTTTCACCAGATGGCATAGATGTTTATATAAGTTTTCAAGGTGAGGACATTCTGGTCTCTTCCAACGTTTTAAATAATTTTTTATATGAATGGTTGTTGAATTTTTTGAAATGCTTTTCTTGCTTAAATTTTTGTGGTTATGTGATTTTTCTTCTTGATTAGCATCTTGATATATATATTATATTGGTTGATTTTGAATGTTGATTTAGTCTTAATTTCTTCCCCTTTGTGTGTAGAGGTTAGGTAAGGTTGGTGAGTGCCTTTACTGTAGGGGGGACGGCTTGGATGAGAAAGAAAAGGAAAATAGAGAGAGCAAGTGTCTTTTGGCTTTGCAACCTCCTGTGTTTGGCAAGGGCATGACACTCAGACAAATCTTCCTGTGGAAGTAATTTCTGCTTAAAGTTACTTTATTTTATGTGCATGTATGTTTTGTCTGCATATATGTCTGTGCATCATGTGCTTGCCGGGTGCCTATGGAAGCCAGAAGAGGGCATGTCATCTGCTAGGACTGGATTTAAAGAGCTGACCAAGGGGTGTCTGGAATCAAACCCAGGCCCTCTGGAAAAGCAGCCTGTGCTTTTGATCTCTGAACATCACTCCAGTCCCCTGACCGTGTTCCTAGGGAAAGAACAGAGGTAGCCTGGGATGAAAGGCAATGTAGGACATGAAATCACATGAAAAGTTCTGGATATTGAGTCTCACCACCCCAGAATGGTCCCTATCACAAGCAAAGCAGGAGTGTCTGAATCCGTCACGTTGGCTGTAGACTGACCTTAAGGTCAGATTCTTCCTACTATGTAGGAATACAAGCAAAGCAGTTCCAAGGGATCCTTGCTAGCCTGGTGCTTCAGCAAGTGTGGCTTCTAATTCACAGAACAGATGTGCAGTGGGTCATGGGCCCTAAACAGTACAAGTGGTTCCTGTGGTCCTTTAGAGGTCTGAGGGGACCTGGGATTTCTCGTGTGGCCGTAGGGTATTGACTGGATAGTTACGCCATGCCAAGCGTGATGGATGCTATAGAAGTGATTGCCCAAGACAACTTAAAGGGAGCTCAGGTGACGGGCTGAACACATGGGAGCCCAGAAGAGGGTCTTAGCATCACTGGGAACCATCAAGTCTTGACTATTGTGAAAGAGTGACACACAAGCCACACCCTGCCAGAGCACAATCTGTCACGCCAATCTGTCCAGGATGAGGACTCTTCTCGAGAATTCTCCTCTTCCTTTTTTTTTTGTTTTTTTTATGCCATGGCATCTGGGAGCAGAAAGATACAGCTTAGATTTCTTATCCTAAAGAACAGGTAAGTCTTTGGAAAGAAGTTTGGGTTTAGGGTTGACATTTCCCAGAAAGAAGAGCGATCTACACAGCAGCAACGAAAATCCTCTATTGATGAACTTGCAGGGTTTTTTTTATTTTTGTTTTTGTTTTTTTCTGCATCACAAGTGAAAATATAGACTCAAGAGTCTGAGGAAATTGGTTTCAGACAGTTTGTTTTACACCTCTGGGTTCTGGAAAGTGCATTTTGGTGACAGCCTGCCGGGATCTTACCATCCAGCACAAACGACTGAGTCACAGCGTTCTGTTCCATCACAGCTTCCGAGCAACTGTCACACACCCCAGAAAACCCTCGTGCACCTGCCAACTGTGCTTTGCTGACCTTTGAATCTGAATCCATCGTATACGACGTGTACTATGTTCCTGCATGGAAGGACATTGATTCAGTTGGTGATGGTCCCTTCATCAGAAGTCTGGTTTTTTTGTTTTTGTTTTTGTTTTTGTTTTTTTGTATGTACTACGTGAGTCCACCAAACACCCTAAACCACAGAACAGGTACACCTTGACTCTGGACATTTTAAAGAAGACACCCTTTATCCTGCAGATCCCACCAGTCGGACAATACTGGCAGTCCGTTTCTGCTCCTTGAAGATGACCTTGCCCCCCCCAACCCTTTTTTGTTTCACTAAGATCAGCAGGGACCCCTGAAGTAGCTGTTGTAGGGTGACAATGTGCCAATATTTGCCATGATGGTCTCTTTAGCCACATCTGCACTTGATGGTTTGCAAGACTTGTACAAGGTAAGGACGGATGCTAGAAGGTTGTGTCTGGCTGCGAAATAAACCTATCTTTTCGTTCTGTTTTGAGGAGAGGCTCCTGCTGTCCAGTGCAGCCGCAGGGCGACTGGTAAGGAAAAGTCCCCAGACCATCTTGATACAAAATATACAGCTTTAAAAAGTCCCCAGACCATCTTGATGCAAAATATACAGCTTTAATAAACAGAAGTAAGACTTACACCAGCTTACACCAGAATCCAAACGATCCGTCCCTGGACGCAGGAGCCAGGTGAAAAAGAGAGCTAGCGGAGCACGCTTGCTAGGTTTATAGGCAGGCTTTTGCCTGAGGGCGGCACGCCCCCAAAACAGAATGTGATTGACTGAACTCCCCTATCAGTTCAATCTAGATTGGCCTCCATATTACTATCCTCCTACCTCATCTTTCCAAGTGCTGGAATTATAGGCATGCGCTGAGGAACATGATACTTAAAACAATACCACCCACTTGTGGTCACTTCCTTCTGTTGTAGCATAAACAACAGAAATTCCGGTTCGGTCTTTAATCCCAACACTCAGGAGGCAAAGGCAGGTGGATCTCTGTGAGTTAGAGAAGCAAGCTGTAGGATAGACAGAGCTGTTACACGGAGAAAAAACAAAAACAAAAACAAGCAAGCAAACAAACAAAAAAATGCCAGCCCCTTCTTGAAGTGCCCATGGCAGTTTCTGAAAGGCTGTACAGGACAGGAGACATTCCACACCAGCTCTCTCCAGTTTTCCCAGCCCCAGTTTTCTAGTGCCTGGCGTTTCCACCATGAATCGTTTACGGTCCTTTTACATTTAACCTACATATTGCAATATTCAAAATAAGTTTCCTTTTTTTCATACATACTTATGTACATTAAGTTACATTATTTTCAGTATGTGACTATTACAAAGAAATCTTCCAGAAATATCCACATACAAATCTTTATGCAAATTTACTTCTTTAGAGTAATTATTTTATTAAAGACAGGACGAATGGCTGGATTACATGGTAGGCAGACGTTTGGAGAATCTAAGAAGTTATTTTCCAAGGCGTTTGACCACTTGCAGCTGTCATCATAGTGTCAGAGAATTCTAATTGCTGCATAGCTTTGCCAACACTTGGTATTGGCAGGCCTTTCTCTCTTAGCCATTCACATAGAGGTGCTGGTTTTTTTTGCTGTATTGATCTCACTTACATAGACACTGGAGTTACTTGGTGGTCCCTTTGGACTTCTTGAGCCTTGTTTGTCAATTGACTGAGATCAATTCTACAACTTTCTTTTGCACTAGGGTTGCTTAAGTTCACTACCCAGACTTTGTCTTCCCAACTCTTCCACTTATTTAAATCTTTTTTCATTAGCTTTCAGAACTAGGCGTGGTAGTGCATCCTCTTAATCCCAGCACTTGGGAGGCAGAGGCCAGGCAGATCTCTGTGAATCTAAGGCCAGTCAGGGCTGCATAATGAGACCTTGTCTCAAAAAAATCAATTATCTTTAGAAATATTCATCCATAGGTATGATTTACTGTTTTTTTTTCCCAATATGGAGGTGGAAGAACTGATTCTGGTGACACTTAGCTTGTTCTAAGTTACGAGGGAATGAGAGTCATATCTGTAAGTTAAGATGTCAGGCGTTTGAAAGTTCCTCTGTACTTTAAAGTACTTTTCGTACTCCATGCATGTGTTTGTGTCTATGAAGCTCAGGAAATAACTTTAGGGGAGTTGGCTTTCTCCTTCCACCTGGGACTCAAACTAGTGTCATCTGGCTTGGCAGCAAGTGTCTTTCTTAACCCAGCTACTTTACTGGCCCCCACTTCTTAAGTTAGTTAGAACAAACATATAATCATCCTCTTGAAATCTTAGGAATATTCTTGCACTCTGATCATGGTATTCTCCCGATCAAAGATAAGCAGTAGCTGGGAGAAAGTTAGAGAAAGGAAATGAGAAGACTCCAGGGAAGGAATTACAGAGGGGTTATAAAAAATTCAGATCTTTATCGAGATCAAATACAGGAGACAGTAATACGATCAACTTTGGGCAGAGTGAACAGGGTCTGAAAGACTTCCTTGAAGTTGCTTTTGTGCAACTCCTGACAACGGTGCTGAGAGAAGGACACACTCTCAAAACAGAAAACTGAGCAATACTGGGAAAGAATTTGCATTTCTCAAAACAAGCTCAGTGAACTGCAGTACCAGGCACACGATGCTGATGTAGAGGGAGGAAGGAGGCGATATCATAGCTGGGATAGGTGTTGAACTCACATTTTGTGTGACCAATGGTTTCTCTGGGAGGTGATTTTGTTAGCCATCCCGTAGCTTTTGAAAACAAATGTGATCAGCATATCATGAAAACATGCGTCCGTGCATATAAACAGCTTTGATTTCCCCACTGTTCTTTAATGTGTGTTCCAATAAGACTAGGCCAAATCCTCATACTAAGGCTGGATGAGGCAACCTAGTAGGAGGAAAAGGGTTTCAAGAGCAGGTGAAGAGTCAGAGACACAGCCACTGTTTGAGTCCCACAAGAACAGCAAGCTATACAACCATAACATGTATGCAGAGGACCTAGCTCAGACCCATACTGGCTCTATGAGTGTCGCTTCAGTCTCTGTGAGCCCCTATGAGCCTAGGTTAGTGGATTCTGTGGACCATGTTATTATGGTATCCTCAATCTCTCTGGCTCCAAGTGGAGGATGATTGACAATCACTAAGTCATAAATATAGTAAGAGACAAAAACAAGACAACCTTACTACAACAGTACACATATTTGTTGTTGTTGCTGCTCCCTTTACACCCCTGCATCTTTCCTCCCAGCTCCAGGACCTGATTTGGGGCAGGAGGGCGGGCACAGTTATTCATCTCTTGATTTTGTGCCTCCATTCCTCCTTGCCCATCTTAATAACTGTTTGGTGTAGCATCCAGGGGTCTGGCGAGTCAGGCACCCTAAGAAGAGGTAGGTAACATGTATGTACTTTTCAGTGGAACTAGTCCTCTCGTCATTTGCTTGCTCGAGCCCAGCACATGCCTTATTTTCCTAGCACACGTATCTCTTTCGGCATGTGCTAGCTTTCTTGCCGTTTGTCTTTCTCCTATACATCCCTTGACTTAGCCGGAGATTATCTTATTGCTCTGCTTGGGTCGTCAGTTACATCACTGGATCCTCAGTCCAACAGTAAGGTAATATGTCTCTACGCTGCTTCATCCTCTTGCTGGTGGCTCTACTGGACAGGATCCAAGGAAGTACCCACTATGGTTCACAGTGTCTTGGGCTGCAATGTTCCACGGAGCGCGTTCACCACCCCCCCACCCCCTTGCCTAGGACTGCCTTGTAGCTGGAGGCACCAGCATTTGTCTGGCTCTGGCTCTGAAGCAGCCAGCTGTTCAATCACCTCCTAGGTCCTCAGTGGGTAGGAGCAGAGCCCAGGCTTCCGGTCAGTTTCAGTTACTTTCAGGGTGAGTGAGCACCAACTTTCTTCTTTCAGCTTTAAGGAATATTCAGGCTGCTTTCTGAGAGTCTCTCTCCTCTCCATGAGCCCAACGGTAGAGTTCGGTGCTTCCTTCCAACTCCCTGACAGCATGTGAGTGTTGGTAACAACCACCCACTGCCTGCTAAGACTTCTCTTCTCTGACTCCTCTTCACTCCCTGGCTCTCCTCCATCCCCTTATATCTGAGCTGTCCAAAGAGGAACCTTCTGAATCTCAAGTCCACATGCTTCGTGGAACTTCCTAACCTAATTTGGCATCTTTCATTGGAATTTTACCGCTATTATATTTTGTTGCCTGTTGGAAACTATAGTTTTCGGATCCTCTTACCCAAGTAATAAACAAACATGATTCATGGGACAGTCCTTGAACCACAGTCCAGTGGTTGAACATCTGGCTGCACTAAACGTTTGGATTTCTGGGTGTGTGCGGCATGAAAGTATTTAAGGAGTGGGATATCATAACCCTTGAAGAATTTTACTTAATCTCTGATCAGCTCTGTTGTTTAGCATTTGTTAGCAGAAGATGTAGACATATGGAGCTCATAAAGTAACTTGGAATGAAATGATTTACTGAGTGCCTGTAACTGATATCTCTTTAGTGGAAGCAGACCTACTCTCCAAATGCACATCCCTTCTAGCTCCAGACAGTGGTGAGGCCATGATTCTAGAGCAAGAGGAAGGGGAAAACATTCTACAGTACTGAACCATTAGGAGGCAAATTCGCCTACAGAAGTTCCTTCACCAGCCGCCCACTCCAAACAGAGACTTAGCAGACACCATACTAACATATTTCAGTGAGACCTGAGGAAAGAGAGAATGGCAGAGCATCCAGTGTTCAGAAGACTAGACAGCTTCTGTCTCCGCTGGCAGAGCGAGAAGGCAAAGACACTCAGTGCGAGATTCCCAGATGTGGCATCCAAGATCAGGGGGCTGCTGCTTGCCTCTGGCCCTTGCAGTTAAGATGAGGAGCCAAATGTGAGTTGTAGGGACTTTTTTTTCAAACTATTTCCTGGACAGGGAAACAGTTACAGAAAATCCAGACCAAGCCCTTTTCTTTCACTGGTCAGGAAACTTGAATCATGGACTTGGAAACATTTACTGTGTTTGGTTTGCTCAAGTGGTGATGTTCTTCATGCTTGAGATTCATAAACTCTGTGAAGTCACGGCAGGGGAGACGCTGTCAACCTCTTCCCGTGGTTTGTGTTCAGCGTTTGGCTTCCTGAGTATCTAAAGATGTACTCTACAATGAGAGGTGCCTTTTCACGTTACAGTATGCTCTTTGGTCCAAATGTCACCATATGTTCAGAGTGTTCTACAGTTTCAGGGGGTGTGGACTTCCCAAAGAGCATGGATGAACCCTAGAGGGGATTCCTTCTACCAGCTCTAGGTGACTTAAGCAGGGCCACCTCACAGACTTTGTATATTTCTTAGGTTTATTTAGCCTTCTTTCCCACCCTCCTCTCTTAGAATCGTGATTTTAGGAATCTCAGTGACCATTCAGACCATCTCACTACATCCACACATTCTACGGAAAAAGATGTCTAGAGACTTTAAGTGTCTTTCTTAAAGCTACATGACTTTAATTTTTTTTTATTCTGCTGATTTTAGTGGAAAACTTGGGTGACCAAAAACCAACATCCAATGTTGTTTCATTGTATCTCCTGTCAAACAAAACAACCCGAGTCATAAAACAGGCCATTTTGGCTGTAACACACCACACAAAAACTTCATGGTCTCTTGTATATCTTAATAAAGCTGCCTGCATTTTCTAACAGCTCCAAAGCTGAGCTAATGCTTAGTCAACAGTTGTGAAGACATCTTCCATTGTAAATGACCCAATCAAAAGAGAAAAAAATAGACAGAACCCCTAGCTTCTGGTGGTTTGGAACTGGGGAGAGAAAGATGATTTCGATTCAGTTTGTGGTTAGGTATAATTCTGGCAACTTTGGATAAGTTTATCACTAATGTCGATCAACTCACCTATGAGGTAATGGTCCTTGGGTCTTTTCTAAGCTTCAGCAGTACTGAGTATGTCTTGTCAGGTTGGAAGATGTTGGGCTCACAGGTGACTTGATGTTCAGTTGTTCACGAATGATGCGTGAAATAACATGTGCGCTCAAGTAGCAACACAAAGGAGAGCGTCATGTTTTCCACACAGAGGGCTGAAGCTCAGCATCCGCGAAGTGACTTTCCCAGAGTGGCTCAGCGGGTAGCAGGATGACCGCGAAACCACAGGCTTCCTTCCAGCCTGTACAAGCAAGGCTATAATAAAATGAGGGAAATGAACAGGCCAAACAGGCTGGCTGCAAATTATAGCTTTGTCACAGTAGCGTTTGGACACCCCAGTGGGCTGTCTGTGAGACGGTTCGTTCTTATTTTTCACGAAAGTTTTTGAAAGTCTTAACAACTTGAGTGCCCTATTAGAGCTGTGTAAATTTTTTTAATGTAAGCCAAGAGACTTTTCTGCAGTGGAAGAGAGGTTTGCAGAGGTGAAAAATGGACGGGACAGGCCCTCTCAAGATGTTTGTGTTAGTTTGGCTTTGTTTATCTGTGAACTGTCGACAAAAGAAGGATGATAAGCCCAGGACCTCAGATGCAAGGGAAGTTCATACTTAGCATTGTCCTCCTCAGCTGGGTTCCCAGGGTGCTGAGTCTTGGCAAATGGAATAGCAAGATTGAGGAGAAAACTTATTGCTCAGAGCCATGCCCTTCAGACACTCTGGCCGGATGTGCTGGGGGTGAACCTGACATCATGGTTTTTTTTTCCCCCCTAAGCTTTCTGCTGTAAATCACCAGGACATCATGGCAGGGTGTTATTCTTTGTAATTTTCCATGGAAGTAGGAGAAGCCACAGTAGGGATGTGGCAGATCTCTCTGCAACTGTAGGACATAGTGTTCAGTTGGTGTGTACCCAGACGGTTGACCCCCAGAGGGGTCCAAAGTAGAACTGTACGTTTTCAATTAGAAAGGAGAGGGAACATTCATTTGAGAAAGAGGGAAGATGAGAAGAAAAAGCACAGACATTCGTTAAACTGACTCGCCCTTTGGTGACAGATGAAAGCAACAGCCAAGTCTCAGAGAGACCATTCTAGCGTTCCAAAGACCAACATTCCGTGAGTGTGTTTGCTCCTGCTCTGCTTGTGAAAACTTTATGATATAACAAGACAAAAATCATTTTGTGGTTTAAAGTTAAGAGATCATTATTATTTTAGGTCTTACAAGAACCCCAAGATGCTGTCAAAATTGGAGAGAGAGGGGAGGGGAGAGAGAGAGAGAGAGAGAGAGAGAGAGAGAGAGAGAGAGAGAGAGAGAGAGAGAGGGAGGGAGAATGTGTGTTTTAGAGACAACAGTGAGAAAGACAACACAATACAAGTTCTTTAATACACCAGGTTTAGCTATACCCCCCCCTCCATTGTTTCCATTGATTTAAGAAAAAAATTCCCCAAATGTATTTCAGAGGCCTGATTGCATCTCAAATGGAAGCAACATTTGCCAGGACTGTTTTCCCCTGTTTTGATGAGCCAGCTCTGAAGGCAACTTTTAATATTACAATTATTCATCATCCTGGCTATACGGCTCTTTCCAACATGCCACAGCTAGGTAAGTAATGCTTCCCGCCATTGTGTAAATGTGAAAACGTTAGCTTCCACGGCCGCTTCCCTGGGCAGTGTGTTAGTGGCCTTCATCTGTTGTCGCCGTGGAGAGCAGTCACATGAGACAAGTGTGGACCCTCACACTTAGAAAAGATAAATACCTATTCTTTCTCAGTGGGGATCTGGGGACATGACACTGTCTCTACATGCTGACAGTCTAGCTGCCCGTTAGTTAGTCCACAACCATGGGCCCTTACTGATAACAGGCTGGTGCAGTTGGTCTCAGCAGACGCACAGATGTGTTTTATTCGCCCTGGGTGATTTTCTTACCTCGACTGCACTGGTGTCTAACTACTAAAGATCCAGAGACATGATATAAAAATCTAGACCTTCAGTTCCTTGGTAACTCTTGTGCTCAATTCATGCTGGACTTGCAGCATTTATATGACTTTAATAAAAGAAAACCAAAAACAGGTTAGCCTCTTTATGGTAACCTGAGCCGTCGTAAACTGCCCCAGTCTCCCTGTTACTATGCATTACCCCATGACATATCAGATGGTCAGCCCTCCCTAGCAGTTGAGTTTACAATTTCAGCATTAGGCTCCAGACTGCTGCTGAAGATCCCTCTGAAACCCAACAAAGGGGGAATTGCAGTTTTGAGTTACTTTGGGCTCAGGCAGCTCTACATTAAATGCTGTGAGATGTGCTAAACGAGGAAACAGAAGTAGGTGGAAAGAAAGGGTATCGCCTGGGCAAAAAACAAACAGTGCCCTTGGGCTTGACATTCAGCTACATTCCCGTCATTCAGGATGCTGATTCAGGCCTAAGATTCCGTCAGCGGGCCCTTCAAATGTACCTTTTATTTACTTAAAACTTATTACAACAATTGTATAGGTTTGTGGGATAAAGTGTGATGACTTGATTTATACATGCAGTAGGATGAGCATAGTGGAGTCATCCTAATAATAGAAAAAAAAATATTTTAAAATGGTTCTGGGGACTGGGGAAATGGCTTGGTCAGTAAATGCTTGCCATACAAGTGGGGCAATCTGAGTTTGATCTCCAGAGCCTATGTAAAAAGCCGGGCATGGTGAGTGCAACTGTAATCTGAGTGCTGGGGAGGCAGAGGCAGGGGGTTCTCTGGGGTCTTGCTGGCCTGACAGTCCAGCTGAAGTGGGGATCCCCAGGTTTAGAGTCCCTGTCTCAAAAGACAAGATGGAGAACAGTTGACCAAGACTTCTGTGCTGATCTGTGTAAGCACATGTACACAAATGCGCACACTCAATATGTACACACACAAATTCCTTTTTCTATTTATTATGTATATAATATTCTGTCTACATGTGTGCCTACAGGCCAGAAGAGGGCACCAGACCTCATTACAGATGGTTGTGAGCCACCATGTGGTTGCTCGGAATTGAACTCAGGACCTTTGGAAGAGCAGGCAATGCTCTTAACCTCTGAGCCATCTCTCCAGCCCCCATACACAAATTCTTTTGAACGGTATCCTAATTTTGCATATTCTTGAGTTATAGTGTGATATTTCAGGGTCGTTGACACTTTTTATCTCCTTATTGCTAACTTGTGTTTGGATCTTGGATGACAGTGGTTCACAGTGACCTGATGTAGGGTTGATGGTTTCGATAGAGAAACCAGACCTTCTAGACTACAGGGAGTTCCTAGGAAGGAGTGGTTGGTTGGCAACTGTCTCGACAAATTGTTTCTAGGTTGCGTTGCATGTTATCTAGGTTTACGGCGGTTTGGACTAAAATATTCCTGCAGGTCAGTCTGAAAGAATCGACGTGAATGGGAGCAGATGGATGGTCACGACCTTCTACACCACACCCCGCATGCCAACTTACCTAGTCGCTCTTGCTATATGTGACTTTGACCACGTCAGCAGAACAGAGAGAGGCAAGGAGGTGAGTAGTGAGGGGCCTGCACACAGGGAGCAATGTGCTGTTTGTATGTTGTTCAGCTACTGTACCATATAACTTACTACCGTGCTTTTCTTCCCCCGCCAAGTCTCATAGAAATGTGGCTTCATGGAATGGGATGCACCAAGCTGGATATGGTAACATACACTTGTAATCCCTGCACCCGAGAGCTCAAGAGCCATGAATTTCAGGCCAGCCGGGGCTACATAGAGAGATCCTGTTTCTTCCCTTTTCACTAAATTATGAAATAAAGGGGGGGAGGGGAGGGGCAAGCTATACTTTTCCATGATAGCTCCATGTAACTGTATTTTTTTTGGAAAGACTGTAGTTAAGCCCAGTCCTCAAGGCACGTTCTAAGCACCCACTTCCTGTTTCTGCTTTCCTGAAGGGCAGGAGAGAACAGACAGGAGAGAACAGATAGCTAACCCTGGGAGATACGCTGCTTACTGGATGAGATTCAAAGTGTTTAGCAATCAGGATGGCCCTGGCACTGAGCGTTCAAAGCAAGACACTAACAAGTCGCTGGCATGACACGTGTAGGCTAACTGTCATTCCCACAGAGGAGCTAGGCCCTGTACAAGACTTCCTCAGAGTCGTGTAAAGTGGGGGAGCAGCCTTTGTCTTAAAATTCTTCGTTTTCATCTTGTTGTCTTCTCATGATAGCATCAGATTTTCAGAAAGTATCTTGGTTTCTGTGACAATGCTTTCCACACTTGCTTACTCTCTGTTATGGAATATGGAGGTAACTACGGCCAATGCCTTACGCCCAGTTCTTTCGGATTTTCTTGGCTTCGTTGGGTGAGAAAGGTCAAGCTGTACAGCTTGCTGAGCATCCCTCGGGCTGGGCTGAGATCTTCCAGGCTCATCCCATTGACGTATGGAGACAAGCAGGCTGGTGGTGAGTCAAGCCCCAGCCCTCCTCGCCTAATGAATCACTCACACAGTGTTGGATGCAAGCAGCAGCTTATCATCTTCCTGAGCTGCTGGCTCCTGGCCCTGCTCCTCTTGCTGAAAAATTACTAGGAGGTCCTTGACACTCACAGATGGAACACTGACCTGGTCAGAGATCCGTGGCGTAGATCAGTGAATCTGCTCAGGCATGATTTAGAAGCGTGGTTTGAGCCTGGCAGGAAGCAGCAGGCCTCTCATTTCCCACAGCTAATGAGAGACCCAAGGTGGTCCCTCACGCCCACGTCAAACAGCTTATGGTCAGTCTTCACAATCAGCAATTCTTGCAAAAGGATAAAATCAGTTTCTTCCTCAAAGATCACCCTAGTATAAAGCATACACGCTGCCATAGAAACAAAAAGGAACGAGAGAAAGAAAATGAGGCTTGAGTTATCGGCGGAAGGCTGTGCTTGGCCATGGCTGAGCACCACAAAGTGAGTAAATCTACTGTGTCTTCTAGGAGATAAACAAAATGCAAGCCTGGACTAGCGTTCAGCATATCCCAGAATTACCCGCTCAGTAAGAGAGTGTGGTTATAAAGCATGAGGTTAAACAGAGAACATGCTGTAGGGACGAAGATGGCTAACCTCGTGGACTTGGGCAGCACAGGTATTTGCAAAAACAGTCTTCTCTAATGTCCACATCTGCCATGTCCAGGGCTGGCTATCAAAACTCACAGGTGGGGTAGGTGTGATTTTGAAAAAAACTTTACAGCTACATCTAAAATGGTCCGTATTGGTCTGTGTTTCTTGTTTCCTTCTAAGGGCTACACACCCTCCACCTTCAGTATGAAACACCCATCATTTGTCTTGCTTTGGGCATGCAGAATGGTCATTTGTGGGAGGAGATTCATATACTGAAAATGAATGAGCAAGTATTCACTGCTGATGCTATTATTTTGCAAAAGGCTACAGCTAAAACCCAGATTGTATCCACTAGCTCCATCCTGTAGAATGTTTCTTCCAAGCCTAGTGGGGCTTCCCAACTTTGGTCTCAGAAGCCATAAATTTAGAGGAAAAAGCAGATCCAAGGTCCGAGGCCATCTTTTTCAACTAAATGAGGCCTCCGCAGCACACAGGTGGAAGAAATCAGGGAGGGAATCCAGGCTAGAGTCTCAAAAACAGGTGGTTGCATTTTGTGAACAAGGAACATTCCCAAACTCTCACATAATAATAATAATAATAATAAAATCACATAATTCAAGACAAACGTTCCAAAGCATAGTGAGACAAATCTGTTCCTGGAAAGCATGTGCCTGTGTGATGACGCTGTTGTTCATACCTAGCCTTTTTGGACAAGGTTCTGCAGAGAGCATTTCTTTAAGTTAACAGAACTCACATAAGGACACACTTTGCAATTCGCATACCTCTAACTTTTGTCCCAAGGACTTTCATTTTCATATGTTGTCCTTGGCATCAGCATTGACAATTCCCAATTTTATGAAAAATGACAGAGAAAAAGGTTGTAGAGCATAAGGCGATCCCACATCACTGCAGCCCTCCAGGTTGAAACAGGAGTGTAGTCACGAAAGCTACACAGATTCATACCAAGCAATAATGTGTTTACATAAAAAGGACATTAAATGGCAGAGATGCCTTTTAACAACAAACATAGGAACATCATTGCCAAAGAGTGGAGACTATAACTCACTAGCTTCATCAGGTCTAAAATCATAAGACTTTCCAAGGGTTTTTTAATTTGGGGGCTTAATATGATTTTCAATTTTGAAATGCAATGATAGGACTAATAATTCTGTAATTATTAAAGCATTCTAAATTTGCAAGGTTCAGATTCTATTCTACAGTACGCCATCACTCTTAACAAAAAATTCTGTTTTGGATCACTGGACTGTTTTTAAAGGGGAAGAGAGGATTTAAGATGTTCTTTTACATGGAATCTACAAGAATTATTCTGCTATTACAGAATTACACATTTTTAAAAGATTTATTTTTACCTCTTATTATTTAAATATTTTCATACAGCATATTTTGATTATATTCTTTTTTCTCTTCCAACTCTTCCCCGATTCTCCCCACCTCCCTGCCCACTTAAACTTCATCTTCTTTCTCTCTCCCAAACAAGCAAACCAACCACAGAAACAAAACAAAACAGAAAAACCAAAAAGGCAAAACCCACCAAAGCACAACAAAAGAAAAGCAGACATAAAACCATGGCATTTCTTTTGTACTGGTCACCTATTCTTGAGCATGAGGCCTGCCCTAGAGTGTGATTGGTATTCCTCCTCTCAGTGTTATTAAAACTAATTTTCCTTTCCCAGGAGGTATCCGTTGAAAATAACTTCTTGGGTAGAGGCGGGACTTTTTGCTGGAATTTTGTCTGGCTTGACCCTGTGCACTTCATAGTCTCTGTGAGTTCATATGTGTTTCTTCCTCCACTTCCACAAAGATCCCCAAGCCTTCAACAGAGGAGTGTGATGCAGACATCCCACTTAGGGCTGGTTACTTCACAGCCTCTCACTATCTGCATGTTATCCAGTTGTATGTCACTGTGTAACTTACCATCTACCGTAAGAAGAAGCTTCTCTGATAAGAGTTCAGGGATACAGTAATCTATGGGCATAGCCGTATGTCAGTAGTTGTTTTATGACTATGGGTCTTCAGCAGAAATATAGTAGGAGGTTTCCCCATTGGTCCCATGACTTACCTCATCCCAGGTTCCAGGGCTCATCAACAATGTCAGGTATGCATTCCTGACATGGAGCAAACATTAAAGTCAACCAAAAGGTGGTTGGTTACTTCTCTACCATTTGTGCCACTATTGTATTGTGGTAGATCACTGGGTTCACAACAAGGTGAGATTGATGCTTACTTTTCTTCTTTGATGGTCTAGTCCACATAGTAAACTTCAGAACTCTGAATGTTAGTCAGTAGGGGTGAGACTTCCAGTTGAGCATCAGCTCAAGTACTTTATGTTCAATGACATAGGTATGTATTATCATGAGCAATAAAGTCTTACAGTCAGGCTGTGGAGGGTAACCAATATAATTGGCAATCCATACCATGTTTGAGGGTAATCTACGGGACCTCTTTGACTAACAACTCAGAGATTTAGCCCATTCTGGAGGCCTTTCCAAAGGCTTTTGCTCTCAGTTGTCCCTGTCCACATCTCCCTTCATCCTGTTCTCCCCGTACCCTTTCCACTTAATCCTCCTATTCTAGTTTCTTCTTTATCTGTTTATAACACTATACTCTATTTCCCCTTCTTTAGAAGATCCCCTCTACTCCCTGGTCTTTCACTAGCACCTAATTTCTGTGAATATTCTGAATAAAGCTCATGTAAAATTTAGAAGCTGACACCCACATGTAAGAAAAGGCAGACAATTACCTTACTTAGGGTGGTTGACTCTAGCTCTACCTAGTTAACTGAAAATTTTATTTTTCTTAACAGTTGAATAATATTTCGTTGTGTAAATGTATTACATTTTCATTATCTATTCATGAGTTGATGGGCATACATGCTAATTCTAACTCCTGGCTTAAGAACATGTATGAACAAGTATCTCTGGAGTAAGATAGGGTGCCCTTTTAGTACAGTTTCAAGAATGGTATAGCTGGATCTTGTATCTCTATTCTCATTATTTGAAAGACCTTCTGCACTGGTTTCCATGGTGACTGTACGAGCTTGCACTCCCACCAGCCATGAAGTATTCCCTTTTCTTAATATCCTCATCATCATATGTGGCATTTGTCTTATAGATCTTGTTCGTTCTGATTGGGGTAAGATGAAATCTCAAAGTAGTTTTAATTATTTTACTGGGGCTAAGGATATTAAACATCAAAAAACTTTTTGAGCCATTTGTGTTTCATCTTTTGAGAACTCTCTTATTCTATATCCCATTTTAAAATTGGGTCATTTGCTTTCTTGATGTTCTGCTTTCTAAGTCCTTTGTCTATTGTAGATACTAACTGTTAGATGCACAATTGAAAAAATATTTTGCCTATTGTGTAGGTTGCTGTTTTGCTTAAGGGAATGATTATGACCTTTTCTAATCAGAAGCTTTTGAGCTTCATGAGGTCCTGTTTATTAATGATTGATCTCAATGTCTATGCTATCAATGTCCTATCAGAAATCACTTTCTGTGACAATGAGTTCAAGCCTATTCTATGCTTTCATTTCAATCAGACTCATGGTGTTTTACACTGATACCCTTGACCCATTTGAAATTGAATTTTGTACAAGGTGATAGATAGGGTCCTGTTTTCATTCTTCTACCTGCTGCTTCCAGTTCGACCAGCAATTATAGATTTTTCGAAGTAAAAGTTAATGTAGCATACCTCTGGGGGACTCACTGTTAGTACTTTGCTTTCTGGGATTTTCTCTGCATGTATATGAACTTAAACATTATAAGCACTGTCTCAGTTGCTTTTTTATTTCTGAGACAAAGCGCCATAACCAATAGAACAGAGGGAGGCTCACATCTTGATCTATAAGCAGGAGGCAGAGAAGAGAATACTGGGAATATTGCAAGTCTGCTGAAACACCAAAGCCCATCCCACAGTGACACCCACTCAACAAGGCATACCTCCTAATCCTTCCTAAACAGCTGGGGGACCAAGTATTTAAATATATGAGACTGTGGGTACCATTCTCAAGCCACCACAGGTATACAGCTTCTTCCACAGTAACAGGGAGTCGAAATGGACAAGGTGACAGTTTTCTGTCTCAAGTATTGCTCTCCCTAATTGTTGTGTAATTGTTCTAATTTAGATACGAATCTGGGCCCGGAAAGACGCCATTGCAAATGGAAATGTAGACTTTGCTATGAACGCCACAGGTCCCATCTTCTCATTTCTGGAGGATTTGTTTAATATCAGTTATTCGCTTCCTAAAACAGGTGAAACATTTAAAAAATTTTCAATGCACAACATTTCTGTTCTGCAGGCCCTGAGTCGAGATCGCATGAACATCGATGAACCTCCAACGGCATATTCGAGTCATTTAGCTTTTGTTTTGGAGCTAGCCTCATGACTGTTCACCATGGTATTTGATGGCTCCCAACACACACACACAGATCTGCCTGTGCTTTCTCTGTTGGGTGCTTTGTATCTTGCACCATTTTTATTTCAGCCCCCTCGTGGGTGTCTGGTGGTTCCTTCTCTAGACAGGGGCTTTTAAAAACTCTCTCATACTTTCAGATAGCACTGGGCAGTGCTGGGCTCTGGATTCTTTCAGCTAGTGAGCTAGCAAGACTTTAGATATTCTCCAGCGGTGACTCATCGGTTTAGTACTTGCTCTTCTCTATAGGTTTCGCCATAAAAATTAGAATCATGTGTGAATGTAACATGATCCTTGAGGATTTGTGTAAATATTTTATCTCTCATAGATCTATATGATTTGCCTGTAAAGTTTTGCAAACTGCTCAGCTCAGAAAGTTGCTCAATGTGGTTTTTTTCCTTCTTCTGTTTAAATTGTACGTGTCGTGTAAATTTATTTTCTTCCTCCATGTTTCTGAAATCTTGGGAACACTATGCTCTGCCTACACAGGCAGATGGTAGAAGAGGGTGGGGAGAAAATATTTGGGCTGTGAGGCCCTGCAGAGTCTCTGCTGCTCAAGCATTTTAGTTTAGCGGGAATGAAGGGCGGAGGGTGGGGGAGCAGCTTAAGCCTGGTCAGAAATTCCATTTTGCCCCTCAGGTAAGGAGCTGGCCACACAGGCATCTATCTGAGCTTGCAAACCAAGTTCCTAGCTCTTCCATGCTAGAGGAGGTTAAGGTAGTTAGTTCATGCCAGTAAAACAAACACACAAATATGCTCACTAAGGAAGACTCCAGAGTAACCCTTGTTCTCCCATGGCATCCTGACCATTCAATGAGACACTTTGTTCTCTTCCTCGCCCCGCAAGGCACTCACTGTCTTTACACTCCTATTCGCTGCTAGTGCACATCCGCATCATTTCTGCCTGAAAAGTCTTTATGTGGTGTCGCCCTCCAACCTGTTCTCCTAGTAAAGCCAGAATCTTTGCAGAGAAAGAACCGATCATGTTTAAGTCCTCTTTAAAATCTCTCTGTAGCTTCTCACAGCCACGAGGATGGAGTCTGAATCCCAACCATGCCTTTACAATGATGTACCACCCTATCCCAGGAGTTGGGCACTTCCCGGCTGTGATGGGTGCCGTTGCACAGTCTCTGCACCCTTCTCGGTCCTCCAGGGTCGTCACACCATATGCACTTTGCTCACCTTCAATGTCTTTCACTTAACTGGATAATTCACCTTTCCTATTTGTTAGCTCAAATAAAAAGGTCTTTGGTAGGAGGATTGACAGATAGTAAGACATGCACTCGGTAGAAGACTCCACAGCAATGAAAACCAAGTACCCTTTCTAAAGTTTAAAACACAAAAGTGATTTTATATAATGAAATAAAATGGAATGTATAATCTATTCAAAGCAGGGCAACAGTAAATACAAAACACGACAGAAAACAGCATATAAAGTTGAAAACTTTATCATCTGGCCTTTTGCACAAAAAGCTGGTCAACCTCAGTCAGTTCTAAAGGGTTAAGTGTTAGACCTACGGTTGCTTCTATTGTTATTTTGAAAAAAAATTAAATGTTTGTATAAAATAATGCAGGATCATGTGGGAATGGATGGTGATAATTTGTTTTTTAAAAAACCCAATGATTTTGCTTAATTAAATTGTATTCATTTGAAAATTTAAAATATTTTTTAAAATGGTCATTAGAAGAGGTCTAGCAAGGAGGCTCAGTAAGGAAAGGCACTTGCTACCAAGATTGACAACCCAGGTTCAATCCCAGGGGTCCACAGAGTGGAGGAGAGAACTGACTCCCACGGGTTGTCTTCTGGTGTCCATATGTGTGCCATGACACTTGCCACCCCCCACATACACCCAAGACACACATGTATATACATATGTACACACATGTGCACACAATTACGCAGTCACGAACACAGATACATACACACGTATGTAAGAAGATATCATTTCAGGAAATTTTAAAAGTAGTCAACCAGTATCTAAGAAATGATTTCTTACAGCTGTCAGGGCGCGATTCTGAGTGTTGGCTGCATTCATCCTTTGAGTAGAGGGTCTCCTGGGAAAGCAAAGGGATTAACCAGCAGGGAAATCTAGGGTTAGCAAATGGAATTGAGTTGGGCCGGGCAGCACAGTCTTTTGCGAGGGAAGTGTGTAGGTTTGGGATGAGATGTGTGTTGGGGAGGAGTCTAGAGGGTTGGGCAATGTCACTAAGTCTGACGCCTGTCCTGAGGCCTGCTGACCCATGGGACTGGGAAAGAGCAAGGATTTCATCCATTTTGTCTTATTGTTGCATTTTGAGATCTTTCTAGATTTGGGATATGAATCTTTTATCAGAAGTATTTGATCTTTCTTTGCTTTTCAGATAGTTGGGATACTTATATTCTGGTTTCCATTTTCAGTGTTGGTGTTTTTTTAGAAACAACCTTTTCTTCAGTCAGCTTACGAGTTTCCTCTAATCTTTATTTTTCAGTAACCTTATGACTTTATTTGGATATAATTTATAGCTAAAACAATGTTTTATTAGAAAAGATGATTTAATTTTTCCCTTCTTAAATCCATTTAGATATAATTGCCCTGCCTCATTTTGACAACCGGGCCATGGAAAACTGGGGGCTGTTGACATTTGATGAATCATCCTTGTTGCTGGAACCAGATGAGGAACTGACAGAGAAAAGAGCCAGGGTCTTGGCTGTTATCGCCCATGAGGTTGGGCACCAGGTACATGGTGAAATATTCCTTTGTATTTCACAGGGAAGCGTTTTCTAGCTGCTTTCCTCAAGGCAGCAAAACCAAGAAATACCAGCCATGCACCACATTTGGGGGTGGGAGAGTGTTTCATGAAATGTACAACTGTGTATTAAACCAGAAAGGTCTGTGTGCTGTCCATCAAGCTGAGTCCGACCCACTGAAGTATTGTGAACCTGGTTAATTTTATTGTGGAAGAGGCTCAGCAAATGCAGCCAGTATGTTGGTGAGGGGCATAGGAGGGCTCAGGCTGCATCCACAGAGGGTGTAACAAGGACGCACACTGTTAGCTCTGTGTGCATCCTATTGGGATCTTAAAAGGGCAGGCATTTGCCTTGATGGAGAGGCTCACACCTACCTTCTAGTCACCATTCCATTAACACAACTGTGTCAAGTAAGAAATAACCTTAACTATGGCAGTGGCATTTTCTTAGGTGTGTGTGACTCCGTGTTTTAGAAAAGACCAAATAACACCCGGGTTACACAGTCCACATGCTCCCATGAATTTTGATCAGTTGTCCTCAGTGTCATTTCTTATTGTCACCCAAGTGATGTTTTAAAAAGCACATGCTGCTAACAACTGCTGTAAGTATTTGGTGAGATAGCAGGGTATGGTTTTGCTGATTTGGGGACTTGCATTTTTCTTTCCAAAGATGTCTATCCTTTCTCTTGCCCTGTTCAGCCTGAATAGAAAATAATGCAGCTGCAACACATCACAGAGTATACGTGTGCTTGAGTGACTCATATGTGATGTGGATCAGATCACAATCTAAATCATAGTATCATCTGTTAACAATGAAGTCCCAGTTAGACGATGAGGCACAAGCATAGCGGGGGTAGGTGTGAGCCGAGGACTTCAGCTTCATTGAACTAAACGCAACCCGTGGGCCAAGCCAACAGTTTCTATTCGACGAGCCAGCCTTGTGCTTAAAGACCAGTTTTAAAGAAAACTTGCTTCCAGTGACCAGAAGTGGGACACTGCATTTCTGAAAAATGCATGGTCGATACCTCCTCATGTGAAACAGCAAGGCGTGTTTGGGAGCCCTGCTTTCAAGTTCTGTTATTGATGGCAAACGACATGTATGGCTTTTGCCATCTCGCCTCCTTAGTGGGTATCTGCAGCGAAAGTAACTTCAATTTCAGAACTGCCTTCTTCTCTCCCATATCTTCCGAAGTGGTTCGGGAACCTGGTGACCATGAGCTGGTGGAACAATGTCTGGCTCAACGAGGGTCTTGCATCTTATTTTGAACTTGGGATAATTAACTACTTCTATCCAAAACTTCAAAGGGTAAGAAATTTAAACATTTACCCGCAATGATAGAAATACTGCATATTCATTGTTGAAAAATCTATAAAAGACAGACAAATCCAGTAACTACTAAATTACTAAAACATTTATCAAACGTGAGTCATGCTGTCTTTTATGGTTTTTTTTTACAAGTTTTTTACTTATTAATTTTGTTTAAGTGACATTTATCCCGAAACTTCTTTTGGCCTAGAAGTTTTGATATTAAGCTGGGTGGCAGTGGTGCATGCCATTAATCCTAACACTTGGGAAGCAGAGGCAGGCAGATCTCTGTGAGTTCGAGGCCAACCTGGCTCCAGGACAGCCAGGACAGCCAGGGTTTTACAAAACCCTTTCTTGTAGAACCAAATTATTTTTTGATATTTGCTCACTTATTATTGCGTGTGGCAGGCTGCACATGCCATGGCATACATGTGGAGGTCAGACGACAGCTACTGGGGGTCCATTCTCTCCTTCTGACATGTGGGTGTGAGGGCTCAAACTCTGGTTGCTAGGCCTGGGGGCAAGCGTCCTTCCCCACTGAACCATCTTGTCAACCCTGTTTGGAGATTTCTATGCTGGTATGGTAGGGTGGTTTACTGGGTAAAGCTACCTGTGCAAGTCTGACATAAAGGTGTAAGGAAGGACCCAATTCTGTGTACCGCCATATACATTGTGTACATCAGAACAATTTAAAAAGGTTCTAAAGTGTCTTAACTCCACATGTCATCATGGACACTTCTATATATTATTAAATCCACTTGGAAATCAAGAATACATTTCCATATTTTTGAACCCACCATATCTGGGAAGTGCTGAGATGGAGCACCCACTTAACATCCAGCACCAGAGCCATCATCCAGAGGACCTGGATTATGCTCCCTTCCCTAGGCTGTCACTCTGCAGTGCCCTTTTCCTTCCCTGCACTGAGCACAGGTTCTGTTGTCCCAGAAGGGAGTTCGGACATCATTCTATAGAAGCTTCAGCGATTTACCTGAGATCGTTTCCTATCTGGGACAGAGTTGGCTTTGAAGCCTGTGGTCTGGGGCTAGTCTCATGGCCAAGATGGTGAGGAAGAGAGTGCTGGATTTGCCGCTCACCAGCTCTTCAAGACCCGGGGTCTCTTGGCCTCTCAATCTCCAGTTCGGACTTTTCTGTCTTTCTTTTACTGCCTAGTTCAGGGAAGCAGCAGGCTTGGTGATGGGGCTGACAGCTGCTTTCCTGTGTGTAAGCATGGCTCTGACCCTAAGTCCCGGGCCTCAGGCATGCTAGGCAACAGCTCCACCGCTGAGCAGGGCCCCTGCATCCTCACTCTGCCTTTCCTACCACCGTAAGACGAGATGCACAGGAACTTCATGCAGTCATTGAACAGGGTTCCTGACTGTTACATACTATGTCACAACTGTTATTAATCTACACTCATGTGCAGGTAGAGAATCGTAGGTATTGCTTGTTCAGAACAACAAATGATGATAATTAATAGCCTAAAGTGGTTAGCTGCTGTGAAGCAGGCTTTATTTATTGGGCTGTTTAGCTAAGAACTATAATGTAGTCTTTAAAACAATTAAGTGAGGACAGTGTTGTTTCCCCTGCTTTGAGATGGTAAAACTGAAAGCCAGAGATCAATTTGCTGACTTGTATGAGTAAAAGAACTGTTAGGAGAGCATTGATGTCAAGTTCGTTGTCTTGACAACTGCCCATTCATTTATTATAACACTTTGCTTTTCATAAACGTTTTATCTGTTATACTTGGAAAAGAAAAAAATCCATCTGTGACTGACCACACTAAGTTTGGCTTTGTTTCCTTTCCATTTATCTTTCTGCTCATTTTTAATATAACAATTGCTGTAATATAACAAAATGTTGATAAGTAGGACATTTTACGTCTCTGGGAAATATTATATTAAAATCAACATTGTGATAGTGATTATCTTAGGGCATGAATGATGGGAGTTTTAAATTTTCTGCATTATATCTATGACACATTAACAAAATAAGACACTTTCAAGAATACTAGAAAAACCTATGCCTAACGAATTCTCGCTACATGGAGTATGATTACTGAACTAGCAATAGGAGAGTTTTACTATTCAGCATCCCCTAGTTACTAAAGCACAGGATATACTATAAGATATAGAGTAGCCAAACCAATATGATTTTGACGCAATCCCTAGCTGATCAGTTTTCCACTAAAATTTCAGACATAGCCAGGCATGGTAACTTACATCTATCATCTCAGTTATTTAGGAAGCCGAGGCAGGGGGATTTAAAACTAAGAAACAACCTGCTTATTATCAAATCGACAAAGTCTAGAATCACCCAGGAGCCAGTCTTCTAGATAAGCATAAATAAGATTATATATAAGCTTGTATAAGATTAGCCTTTGGTTAATATTAGGTTATTATCTACTATTATTATTATCTATAGTAGATTAACTTGAGTAGGTTAATTAAGGTGGAAAGGTCCACCTTAACTAGGTGCAATCCAGTGGACCAGGGCCTGGTTGAATTCAAAAAGAAAGTGAACTGAACACTTTACTCTCTGCCTCCTGACTGTTCATGAACGGTAACTGGCTGCCTTGAATTCCTGCGTCCATGACCTCTCAGCTATGATGAACTGCACTCTCGAACTGTAAACCGAAATAAACCTGGTCTTCCTTACTTTGCTTTTGGCAGTATAATATATTTTGTCACCTTAACACATCAAGTAACTAACATAAACCAAGTTGATGGTGTTGTTAATGAAAACTTAGGAATACAAAGGAGTTGATTAGAACGTAAACAAATGAAAGTGGAGAAGATTTGGAATGCTCACCTGATACTGATGTGCCACGCAGCATGAGACAGTCAGCTCGAAATTCCAACCCATTGATAGCGATTTCAGGCTTTCCGTGGCTTTCAGGGACTAGCCCACTCGTAGAGGTGCAGACTTATCTGTGCAGCGTCTCTCCTACTCTCTGCTCATTGTTTTTTCACCCCAAATTCCTCTTGGCTGTAAATTAGTTTTCTTTTTTTTTTCCCCTTTTCCCTTTTTCCTTTTTCAAAAAATTGATTTTATTGAGCTCTGCATTTTTCTCTGCTTCCCTCCCTGTCTCTCCCCTCCCCTTCAACTCTCTCCCATGGTTCTTTCTACTTCCCATGTATATTAGATCCATGTATGTCTCTCTTAGGGTCCTCATTGTTGTCTAGGTTCTTAGGAATTGTTAATTGTAGGCTGGTTTTCTTTGCTTTATGTCTAAAAGCCACTTATGAATGAGTACTTGTGATAATTGTCTTTCTGAGTCTGGGTTACCTCACTCAATATGTTTTTTTTCCTAGATCCATCCATTTGCATGCAAATTTCAAGATTTTTTTTCTGCTGTGTAGTACTCCATTGTATAAATGTACATTTTCCTTATCCATTCTTCGGTCCAGGGACATTTAGGTTGTTTCCAGGTTCTGAATATGACAACCAATGTTGCTATGAACATAGTTGAGCACATGTCCTTGTGGCACGATTGAGTATCTTTTGGGTATATACCCAAAAGTGGTGTTGCTGGGTCTTGAGGAAGGTTGTTTCCTAATTTTCTGAAAAATCGCCATCCTGATGCCTATAGGGGCTGTACCAGCTTGCACTCCCAAATTAGTTTTCTTTCTCGCTTCACGTCACAGAGAAATTGTTCTTGCCATGTGCCCAAGGGAAAGCCAGTGTCTTGGACAGACCCGTGGCTTTCAGTACATTGTAATGAACCCGCTGCTCAGAGCCCATGATCTGCAAACACTGTATCTGGTCTGTGGATTCTCTACAGTCGTAATTGATTATGTGAGCATCATTGTCAACTTATACATCTAGCGTGGTTTTTGCTTTGTGCATATACCTGGAAAAATACCAGTCAGTTTGAAGGAGCCACTGATTCAATGGACAATACAATCTACTGGACTGGAACTACGTAGAGACAGTGAAGGAGCCTATCTTGATGAAAATACATGACTCTTAGAATCACGCTCTTTTGTAATTCATAAAAATCAGAATGAGCGCTAGAGAACAGGAAGGAAAGTGGTCTATCGTTTTGATACTCAAAGAATTCTGAAGTTTGGGGTATATTATAATTTTCATACTCTTCAATTATTCTTTCCCCATTTTAATGTGGGTTTTGGAAGCTATCTTAGGGATCTTGGATTTTGTATTACTATAACCCTCAGAAGTTAATGTGGTTCAATCTTTTCCTTTATAGAATGAGATCTTTTTTTTTAACTTTTTACATGGTGTCCTCAGAGAAGATCATTCCCAGGAGTCTAGAACTGTGTCCACTAACGTGGAAAATTTCACAGAAACAAATGAAATAAAAGAACTCTTCAACATTTATACTTACCACAAGGTAAGAACACATTTGTGTTTTCTTCTGCTCTCATGCCAAGAGTTGCAGAAAATGGATTCCAAGGACTATAAATGCTGCATCCTCAAAACTTTAGGGTAAAGTAACTTTAATTGTATTGCCTAGTAGATGTCAGAAAGTGCTTTAAAGTCAGCCTTTACTTAGCAAATATTGTTGGCGAGGTCACAGTAGATATTGGGCATAACTTGCATACCTTGAAGCTTTTTGTTTGTTTGTTTGGGTTTTTGTTTTGTTTTGTTTGTTTGTTGTTTGTTTGTTTTAGAGACAGGGTTTCTCTGTAGCTTTGGAGCCTGTCCAGGAACTAGCTCTTGTAGACCAGACTGGCTTTGAACTAATAGAGCCTTTGTCTCCCAAGTGCTAGGATTTAAAGGGTACCCCACCACTGCCTGGCTATACCCCAATGCTTTAAAAGCAAACTTTTATGGGTCTCTCTCTCTCTCTCTCTCTCTCTCCCCTCTCTCTCTCTCTCTCTCTCTCTCTCTCTCTCTCTCTCTCTCTCTGTGTGTGTGTGTGTGCACATGTGCGTGCACAGGCACATGCACGTTGGGATGCTAGAGGACAGTCTTGGGTGTTGTACGTCTGGAGTCATCAACCTTGTTTTTGTGAGGCATGGCCTCTCACTGGCCTGGGGCTTGCTGATTTTGTTAAGCAGGGTAGTCATCTAGCACTAGGGATTCTTCTGGTTTTTTTCCCCAGTTCTAGGATTATGAACACACATGCTTAACTTTTGTACATGGGTTCTAAGGAGGGAGCTCATGTCCTCCTGCTGGCTTGCATAGTGAGTGATTAATGGCTGAGCCATCTCCCCAACTCCAAATTTCTGTTTTATAGAATTTCATTCTTACATGAAAGTATTGTAATTTAAAAATATTTTGCGTGCACCAATTCTTTATATGTAGGAGATTTGTTCATTCTTTCCTCACGACTTAGTGACAATATACTATTTTATCAACACATTTGAGGACAATTTGAACAGGGAATTCAAGAACAGATTGCAATCAGAAGCATAGCATAGAACAGTATTCATAAAAATGAAATGTGTCTCTGTGTAAATACTGAATTTTGGTCAGCTCACGAATGTCTTTGTATGTGCTAGGGAGCATGTATGGCCCGGATGCTTTGCAGTTTCCTGAGCCAGAACTTGTTTATCAGTGCACTTCAGGTGAGTTGCTGAGAGCGTTACCAATAGCAGCAAACACAAATTGCTTTGGCATCCTATTGCATTAACCCCAATTCCTCTGTTTTTCACAGTCATACTTGGACACATTTTCTTACTCAAATGCTGAGCAAGGCGATCTATGGAGACATTTTCAAATGGTAATGGTCCTCTGAGGCACTTGCTTGCTGGGGAGTTTTGTCTGATGCAGTACAAGATCAGGAGGCCATGAGTGAACAGGGGACCCACAGGAACATGACTTAAATCCCCCCTAGTTCTGAGATGTTCCTTTAGTCTTCGCTGTACTTCTACGCCCCAAATAGAGAGTGGTCTATTGGGTCCCTAAATATGCATTCAATGGATAAATGGATGAATGAATGAATAACCATCCATATTGTCAGCTCTCTGTGTTTGTGGTTCCCTATCTGTATATTCAACCAATCCGAGATGAGAGATAGAAAAATTTCTGTTTGTACTGACTGTATATGAACTTTTCTGGGGCCATTATCTCCTAGACAATACAATAAAGTAACTATTATGTTCACATATCGTTTGCATTGTAAAGGCATTACAAGTCACCTGTAAATGATTGCAGCCCATGCTTACATAGAAGCACTGCTCTGTTTTATATCAGGGCATCAGCATTCATAGATTCTGTTCCCATGAGGGTCCTGGAAGAAATCCCCTCCCAGACCCCAGAGGAAAGCGGCATAAAGATGAACAGTTCTGAATATCAACCACTGGGGATTGCCACATAAAGAAGGGATGGGGTGGTTGTTTCACTTCTTTGGGGAAGATTGCTGCCCCACAAGGTTCTGCTCAGAAACCACATCTGTTTTTGTGTTTTCTTTTTAAATCAGGCCATAGATGAGCAGAATATAATTCATTTGCCGACAACGGTGAAAAGCATAATGGATAGCTGGACATACCAGGGTGGCTTTCCAGTCATCACGTTAAATGTGTCTACGGGCGTCGTGAAACAGGAGCCGTTTTACCTTGAAAAGACTAAAAATCCAACTCTTGTAAGCCACAAGTAGGTTATTTTGTTCCTTTGTTGTCACCAGGTTTGAGGTTGAGCAACCGTGCTACAGAAGCGAGGAAGTGTAATGCTTGCTGGGCACATGCCCTTCTGCTGGGGGACTCCCTGAAGCAATGGCACTGTGTACTAGGGTGAGGTGGAACTCTAAGGACTAAGCAAGGCCAGAAGCCAGAAACTAGGGATAAACATGTGCCCTTACCTGGGACTTAGAGTCACATGAGTGATCAGACCATTAGAATTCTATGTGTTCCTCATTGTCCGACAGACAGATGGAACGAGTTACTTAGGATTCTGGCTGAGAGGCAAGAAAGTGATGCCATCGGTAGCACAACTTTTCAGAAAAAAAAAAAGAAAAAAACTTTTCAGAATGCATATCCTATTGCGTTCTTTCCCCTAGACATAGAACAAAGAGAACATAGAACTGTATTCTTGACGATAGTGTTGTGCGTATGTGTTCATATATACGCACATGCACGGGTATATATTTAAAGCCATATCTGCAACTTTAAAAGTGTAGCCTTTAGACCCAATTCAAAGGCTGGCGTCAGCAAATTAGGTTGAATTCAAGTCGTCTGAGCTCCAGTTGCATTGCCTGCAACATACCTATAATGGGGAGATGATGCCAAGATGCAGTAGGAGTGGCAGCGTGCCACTCGTCCCCCTTCGTCCTGCCTCCTGTTTCTTCCCCTAATTGTTGACTTGCAACCGTTTGGGGTAATTTTAACCCTCACATCTCATTGTAATAGACTTCAGCATGAATGAATGATTTTGAAATACCAGAAAAATTTTCCAGAAGGAGCTGGCAAGATGGCCCAGTGGGTTTGCCCCCAAGCTCGATGACACGGGTTTGATTCCTGAAATCCATGTTAAAGGTGGAAAAGCAGAACTAATTCAAAATAGTTATCCTCTGACTTCTGCACATGCGTACAGTCTCCCACATTACACACACACACACACACACACACACGCACGCACGCACGCACACACACACACACACACACACACACACACACACAATAATAGCAACAACAAATCAAACAGTCCTGCTCTTTCTTCAAAACCCCAGGGGAGTAAAACAGAAGACCAATGGACTCTGCACTGTAATATTGTGAATCTTTTGAGAAGTGGGTGGAGTCTTGGACATGCAGATGAAGGCAGACTTAGCTAAAGGGCCAAGATGCCAGATGTGAGGGTTAGAAGAAGATTGGAAACCGCTGCCTGAAGTGTGTGTCTTTCTAAAAGACTAATGCTGTTCTTGTGGTCAACTGATTGATCCAGTTCACAACCACCAACGTGGGAGGAAAAAGTAGACGTTCAGTAAATACAAATGTTGTCACTGATGCCTGTGAACATGTTTCAGATGGAGAGAAAGTTCGAGGCTGAGAAGGATTTTGAAATGTTGGCAAGCTTTCCTTTTTAAAATACCCATCACCTTTCTGGGCATGGACAAATTTGGGTCTGTCAGAAGCATTAGAATAACCCAGAGTGAGGTCAGTTGGCTATAATTTAGTAAAATCAACTTTTCAATATTTCAGATAGAAGAGTCTCAGCAATTGTCTATGTTATAAGAGGTGAGCCTATAAGAGACAGCAAGAGGGAGGGATGAGAAAGAGTCAGAGCAACATTAGCTGGGAGAAACAGCAGCAAGCAACCCTAAAGAGAAAAGCCTCGAGTCGTTGCTGGGATTGACGTGGACTTGGAGGTCTGCTCTTTTGGCGTCTCTTCAATTTGGGCTGAGTGTATATTCTTGTGTGTGAAAATAGCTAATTCTTTTTTTTTCTTCCTAAAAGTAACACATGGATTGTCCCTATTTTTTGGATGAAAAATGGAACCACACAGCCTTTAGTCTGGCTAGACAGAAGCAGCAGTAAGTAAACATGTGTGTGTGTATGTGTGTGTATGCACATATATACATCTTCATATATACACATATATAAAAACAGAGATAGACATCTTGTTAAAATGTCGAGTTTTTGGAAACCTTATTGTTGAACACAGAGCTTCAAAAAATGCTTCAAATTAAAGTAAATTATACATGAAAATTTAGTTATATGACAGACTGATATATACTTAAGAACTATCTTAACTTTTATTTTATTGACTTATGGTTTAGAAGTGTGAATGTATTATGTAAAAAATGTACTGAAATCTTTTTAAGAATTTTTTTTTTGGTAGTGGTTTTCCCTGAGATGCAACTTTCAGATTCTGACAGTGACTGGCTGACTTTAAACTTCAATATGACTGGATATTACAGAGTTAATTATGACGAGTTAGGTTGGAAGAAATTAAATCAACAGCTTGAGAAGGACCCTAAGGTAATGGTTGGTTTCGGTGTTTTAATTAAGCAGTTTGTGAGCTGTCAGCGTTGAAATGGTCAGAGAGAGGTGTGTAGATTCAGGCTGCCAACGGGCCTCTGTCTTTCCATGAATATGGGGTACTGGGTCACATCAGTGAAATCTTGAGAGTGCCGTTGCCATCCGATATAATCTCTCGGTGCTGCATACATAGTGCTAGATAAAATTTAGTTATGATCCGCTATGCCAAAACTTTCCTGAAAGTAAGAAAGACATTGCAATTGTATTCAATACATACATTCTCTTTTGGAGAAGTTTTTAAACATCAGTTTCAGGCTTTGTTTTTTAACATGATCTGTTTTAGGGGAGTATTTTCATAAAATTTCTGCCGAGGATAAGTATTATGATTGATATCAGAAGGATCTCATCAAAACCACATACATACTAAGTAAATTATGGGCCATTCTTCGTAGCCACAATTTCTCTACCTAGGAGACAATCTCTTAGGAAGGGTGTTTTAAGCACTGATGGTCTTGAAGTGGCTATTTTGAAAACGTTTTCCTCTTTGCTTGACCATGTTTGGGTTTTTTTCCGCAGGCCATTCCTGTCATTAACAGGCTGCAGCTGCTGAACGATGCATTTGTCTTGTCTGAGTAAGTGTCTTTTCTACTCGCACAGTTAAAGGGGCATGTTTTGAAAACTATATAAAAATAACAGACTTGTGACTGTGGAGTTGGTTCTTTAGTATGCAGAGACCTTAACTAGTTAAGGATAAGGTCAAAAGCAGGACATGATCGCTCAAACCCGCAGTTCTGCTCGTAATGCAGGAGGATTGCTGCGAGACAGTGAAACACACACACACACACACACACACACACACACACACATACAACCAACAAATAAACATAAGATTAGGGCCAAATTCTATGTTATCAGTGGGATTTTATAACGTAAATTGTTGTATATAGATAGACTAAGCACCGAGATCTTGAAGTTATGCAAGGTGACAGCTGACAGCTATTATAGTAGTGATATCTGGGTTATATTCTGATACACTACAGAATTATAAATTTTATATGTATGTACTAGGTTTGTTTAGTGTAAGCCATGCCACTGTTTAACCATAAATAATATTATATGTCCAGGATTTAAATTTTTAGTCAATAAAATTAAAGATATATATCCTTTATCTATATAAAGAACATGTCTATTCTTTAATTTACATATTCTTTAGTATATATATTCTTTATTACATAAAAAATTGCCTAGCGGGTCCTCCTTCACGCCTGCCACATGCGTTGAGTGTTAGTCATTTCTCTGTTGAGTGTTCCCTCGGCACCTGTTGCTCAATGCTTAGCTGACAACAGCTCTGGGGTGACTAAGGCTTGGATATGGCTGGCCTCACCCTCCAAGCATCATCCTTCTGGCTTCTTGACACTTTGACACAAACACTTGATTTTCTGACTTCACTTCTTCCTGCCACTGTGAGCAGCCCTAAGCACGATCATGTTTGTGTCGTCGTCTTTCTTTTCATGGGCTGACTCATGATTTGGTCTTAGAATTTAAGGGGTTGTCTTATTAGGGGCAAGGCTCAGCCAGATGCTAAGATTTTAGAACATAAGCTGCTTAATTAAGTTCTAAATGGACATCTCACCCTCTTTTCTTCCTTGTCTTGTGTTTAGCCATTTCAATCCATTACCTTAACCCCTGAATATTATATTATTTTGCTCTCTCTCTCTCTCTCTCTCTCTCTCTCTCTCTCTCTCTCACACACACACACACACACCTCTCCCTCTCTCCCCCTCTCCTGTATGTGTGTGACATGTACCACTATTCCTCCCATTGCTAAAACTTGAAACCTCAGAGACACCCTTTTGCAATCTCATTCTCAGTCACTCAGGGTGTTGTCTCTATTCAAGTCTTGGTAATAACTTCTGAATTCTCACCTTACTACTTTTACTACTTATGTACTAAGCCATTTCTTTCATCTAGTCTCTTTCCTTACTTTTCAACCTTTAGTTACCTTGAGTTCCTAATGGAACTCAAATGACTTTCAGCATTGCAACCGTAGAAGTTTTAGGTGTCAATTCTACCACATTATTTTGGTTGCTCAAAAACCTAGGCGTCCCAAGAAATCATAACTCTTTATCCTGATTGTCAATGTTCTCCTCAGATTTGAACCACCTGATCCATTATCTTTGTCTCTCACGAGACACAGAATGACCTAACCCGCTAGTTTCACCTCTCACTGGACACAAGGTGTCCTGCCTCTTGGCTTTGCCAACCCACTGCGCTGTTCCTCACTATTTCTCCTTCTCTACCTCTTTCAATTACACATGGCCTTGGGTGCTCTCCTCAGTTGCTTTCCTGAGGCCTTCTCTGACTTTCCCTTTCCCCCTTGGCGCTTCCATGTGTATGCTTTTGCTTTGAGAACTTTCTGAGACCCCTCCTTGACTTCCTAGGTAGCAGCTGAACTCCCATGATGCTCTCAGCTGCAGGCAACTACGGTGTCACATGCTGGTTTCTCTGCCCACCAGCAGCTGGCCGAGCATTAGACCAAGACTGTTTATGATTGATACTCTTGAATGGGATGTGTATTTTTGTAAGAACACACAACAAATACTCAATATTCCATAACTCAGCAATTGACCTGGGTTTTCTACAGCTTGTCGTGTGGATGTTTGAATGATTCAGGTGGATACAAAAGCCTGGCAGCATTTGTTAAGTTCTGTGTTACAGATATGTTGGGACATCTGTCACCCTTCTACTTTGCTTGGTCATACATCTTGTTGAAGTTAGACATTGAAAAATGGAGCAGATATGGAAAGAGAGATCTTTTAGCAGGTCAAGGCTTTTTGAGTGTGTGTTTTTTTAAACCAAACAGAAACAATTATATTGAAATTGAGACAGCACTTGATTTAACCAAGTACCTTGCTGAAGAAGATGAAATCCTAGTGTGGTTTGAAGTCTTGGTAAACTTGATAAACAGGGATGTTATTTCTGATGTGAACAACTATGCTATATACCCATTATTGAAGGTAATTTCACACTTTGTTATGTGGCTTTTAAACCAACCCTCTTTGCCTCTCTCTATTCTGGCCAGCATCTGTGTGACAGGCCTTTCCAAAAGCAATGCTCTATTCATTCCAGATGTTAGGTGATTTATTTCTTTTTAGCCACAAGTGATTATTCTTAGAAGAAAATCTATTAGCCATAGACAGGGCCTTGGAGATGAGTGAGGGAGAAGCTTGGCAGGGTTTTACATTCTTAGGGAAGTGAGGATGAATCTAAAAAACAAACAAACAAAAAGACAGAAAGAAGAAAAGAAAAAAAATCCCAGAAGTGGTAGAAATTTATATATCTTCCTCTTATTAAAAAAACAGTATATATCAAGAACAATTTCCCAAAGAGATTTGTAGGCAAATCGATAGTTTGTTTTGTTTTGTTTTTCTTATCAACCCTGTGTTCATGACCCTAATACTTATGTCTTAAGGGACTCAGCAATTTCATCCTAGGAAATATGTTCCAGAAAAATAAGAGTTTCAAAGCCACTGTCACTATTAGGGAGAGAAAGAAATGAACACTTATGAATAAAACGATGATATGCCACCATCAGTGAGGGAATAGAAAAGTGAAAATTTCCATCAGTTGCTTTTCAAAAGGATTTGGAAGGAAGATGAGAATTAGATGTTTAGAAGCAACTGCTGGCAGTCAAGGTCCATGAGCAAACCAGAGAGTGATGATTGTGAGTGAGTCTCTGGGTCATTCTGAGGGTGATGTTGTAAACACCCTAGGTTCCATCCAGATGCTCCTTTCCCTAATATCCAAAGTGGTGTTGGGAGCTTAACTGAGTGTAAGGAGGGTGACTTACAGGAGGGTCTCTGGCTTCTGGTGACTGGCTTTGGCCAAATCAGTATAAGTGACAGTTGGGCTGCCTCAGAGAGTTTCAGTGGGTGGGTAGCATCTAGTTGGTTCTCAGTCATGTTAATGAATGCCTGACTTTTGTATTTGCCAGATGATACATTGGGCTGATAGCAAGTGACAGCGATTGCTAACATTTACTAGGCTTTCGCTTTCTGCTATTTCTTGTGATTTTATGTGTGAAGCAACTGAACCTGAAGAAGTTTAAAAATAAATCAGTATATTCAGTGACAAAGATCATTTCTGGAAAAAAAGTCTGTCGTTTCTCTATTAATATCTTTCAGATAAATAATAATATGCTGGGAACTCAGTGTTTTGTGCCAAAAATAATGATAACTTTTCTTTGTGGTTCATAGAAATATTTACTAAAGAGAATTAACTCAATATGGAATACTTGTTCAACTTTAATTCGAAAAAATGTGGCAGCATTACAAGACAATTATTTAGCTCTGTAAGTATTTTTAATTTGTCAAAATTGAATAAAATAACTCATCTTAATAGATAAACTTCCAGATTTGTGAAAGAGAATCTTTTTTAATAACTAAAATCTTAGTATCTATTACTGAGTTTGTATGCTACTTGAGAATTGTAACTCCAGACCTGGTGAATTATGTGTGTCTTCAGAGGAAGCAAGAGCTTGATTGAGTTCTTAATCGGCCTGCAAGGCACATGGGTGTGCACATAGAAGTTTAAACTCTGTGTTTGCAAAAGTTAAATCACAGACAGAAATCTTAAGTGTATCCTGGTATGGGTGAAGGGTTGTGCTAAGGACATCTACCAAGGGAAAAGTGGACTTTGTCTGGATACTTCTTGACTACCTACTCTTTGTATTTTCCGTTGTAAAAAATCAGACAAGACACACAGAACTTATAGTGTAGAAGACAGAGTTTCCTGCATAGTAAAGAGGGGCAGCCTTAAGGGATGAAAGATGACAACGAGAGAGTTGTGCCTACCGACATGTCAGTGTATGCTGAAAATTAACCTTTTCTGAGGGGCCATTTCCTTATAGCCAGCCTGTTTGGATTAACAGTCAAGAGAAGAACCTTGCTCTTTACCAGAAAGCCTCCTGCTAGATAGGAATTTTTCTGGCAATTCATAAGGTCACATCTCTACATAGGGTTAGAGACACAACTCTTATCCTGCTCTTTTGACCAAAACTCATAGAGTGAAGCAGATAAAAAAGAATTAAAGAAAAAAGTCTATGAAAATACATGTTTTATGAGGAAGAAACAACCTTTGCAATGCGTGGGCCTCAACAAAGCCCTGCTACTTGCACCTCCCTCCTCTTTATATGGTGTCTTAAGTTTCACAGAGAGACAATTGTGATACTTCCCCCTCCTTTATCCATCACTGCAAAACTGAGGTGTTACTAGGGACACGGGATGAGGGCTTAGGACTGATTATGAGATGGGGTCCAACCTTCAAGTGTTGTCAGCCTGCTAGTTTCTAGCTAGTTCCCTAACACTTCTCTGTATTCTTCTGAGCAAGAAGTGTACCCTGATGCAAATATGAACTAGGTTGACAGTCAGTACTTATCAGTCACCTGTATATGATCATGCTTAATTACTGGGAATGACTCTCCTATGGTGACTCAGTACATTTTCATGATGGCTTAAGAGGGAGCTGAAAGGCAACATGAGGATACGGTACCTCTGTTCTGTTTGTGTATGGATGTTAGACTTCTAGACTTAGAGGTGGATGGTAGTCAACAACTATAGCTACAGCTTCTAGAAACATCGAACTTAAACTAACCACACTAAACAAGTAGTAAAGATACATAAACATATAATCATTCTTCCTTAGCAGTATCCTGCTGAGGGAGTAGAAATTAATGCCAGAGTCTATTAGAAGCCCGTAGACTTGGATAGATAGGTACATAGATGGTGTGTGTGTGTGGGGGGGTCGGGGGGATTGTGTGAATGAACTGGAAGGCACAAAGATACTCAGCCATGCAGCACGTGTGTTAACCAGACACAGACTAGGCTCTCCTAAAGCAGACTAAAGTAGCTTACATTTCGTAGCATTCCAGGCTAGTGTTTCTGCTCCAGCAACTTGTGGGAGAGGCTGATTTTCACAGAATCCCATCTTGTTGCAGCTAGCCCAAGTTTGGGATGGGTGGGGAGAGAAAGCGAACATTGTAATAAACAGATTTCTAAGAGTATCTGTCAGGGGACCTCCATCCGTGCACATTCCAAAACTGCTTATCATAATGTCAGAGGAGGCTGCGTTGAGACCGGAAGGTGGGACAAAGGACACTGGCTTCTTTTGCTGAGACCCAAATTTGGTGACTGTAGCAAGACACACACCAAAGCATGGCTTTCTTGTGTTCATTCTTGTTCTGAACTCATGTGATTCTTAGCAAGGGAAAGCAAATTGTACAGGGGGGTAAAGGAACTTTTCCTGGATGGAGATAACATTTTAGCATATTAGGTCAGAAAGAAAGCTTTCCAGCATCTTAGATCAGATAGGCTACAGATATTATTAATCCATAAAGGGGTTATTGTAAAAGAGGGGGAAAGAAAATTGACAGCAGGTGTGGAGTGCGTGCACACCCATGCGTCTTTGAGGGAGATGAGTGAGGGTAGTAATTTATTTCTAATTTTAAAAGATGCTATTTGTCTGGAGCTTTTCTGGTGCCCCCAAAATTCTCTGAAAACGGTTTTTATGAATCTTTAATAAGTTCATCATCATAAAAGAGAAAAACTCAAAGTTGTTGGAGGATATTTTAAAATTCTCATTGTCATGTGAAACACACACTCTTAGAAGCAGAGATAATGAGGGTGATACTTCAAAATTAACAGCTTCGCTTTGTCTTTTCCTTCAAGACTATCAGTGGAAAAGGTTTTTGAAACTGCGTGTTGGTTGGGTCTTGAAGACTGTCTCCAGCTGTCCAAAGAGCTCTTCAGAAAATGGATGGCCGATCCAGAGACTGCGTAAGGGCTACAGTATCGCTCCCCTTGCTCCCTCCTGTATCAGCGCCCGCAGTGTCTCTACCCTGGTGGTGTTCCTGATAGTTGGGAGTGATCGTTTTGCTTGCACTTGGTTGAGCTTCTCAATTCCTTTTCAGACACCCTTTCCTGGAAAAAAATTACTGTTGGTTTGTTTGTTTTTCGAGACAGGGTTTTTCTGGGTGGCCCTAGCTGTCCTGGAACTCACTCTGTAGACCAGGCTGGCCTCCAACTCACAGAGATCTGCTGCCTCTGCCTCCCAAGTGAAAAGAGATGATCTAAATTAGGTCTGAGGGTAACTACAGATTAGGACTCATTCAGTAGTGACTTGAGACGGAGGCCTCTGGCTGCTGATGGTTTATTTTTCCACTAAGCACTTACAGTTTGGCAGGGCTGGTTTTACATCTTAATAGGTTCCTCTTTAGGGTTGTTTGGTAATGTTTTATCTGTGAACATGTTGGAGCCTCCCATCTGAGTCTGCAGTCTCATTAAGAACAGAGACCCTGGTGTATGGGACTTTATTGCCTTTCATTTACCACCTCAGCTGGACTCTAAGGCAATGTGATAAAGAAAGCCAAGACCAATCTGCTTTATTAATGTGTGCTACACTATTATAATTTACTTCTTTGAAAACTCAACCACTCTGCTAAACAAATGACCTTTTCTTATCATAATGCTACCAATAGCGCCCTCACTTGCTCCTTTTTTAGCTCTTTAATCTTTATGGCTCAGATATCAAGTAACTTTACTAAATTTCTGCATCTGAATATGTGGCTACTTGGATAAGAGTGGTCCTGAACTACCACAGGGGATGCCTTCTGTTGTGCCTTCCAGAATACCTCATCCAATTCAAAGAGTAGCTTTATGCAATGGCATTGCTTTGGGTAGTGTCAAGGAGTGGGACTTCCTGTTTAGTTTTTACGTCAATATAACGAAGAAAGAAGAAGAGAGAGGGAGCCGTCTCATTCCTGCGATGTGCTGCAGTAAAGAGCCCTGGATACTTAACAGGTGAGATGATCAATTTACCTTAAACATTCTTGATGGAGAAACATAATTCATATTTCAAAAGAGAGGAAAAAGGAAATAAACATATTTGCCATATTTGTACATTATTAACTTAGAACCATGAGCTTTTTTATATTTATTTATTTACTTACTTACTTACTTATTTACTTATTTGTTTATTTTTTTGGGTTTTTGAGATAGGGTTTTACTGTACAACTCTGGTTGTCCCAGAACTTGCTCTATAGATCAGACTGGCCTTGAACTCACAGAGATCCTCCTGCCTCTGCCTTCCGAGTGCTAAGATTAAAGGCATGCACCACCACCACCCAGCAGAACCTTGAACCTTTCAAAATTTCACAAAAATTAACTTTGTGTGGTATTTTAAAGCTTGTTTATATTTTACAACTGGACTCTCGTAGATTTATGGCGTATGTCGTCACCGTGAATCCAAATCCTTTTAATAAAACAAATGTAATAGAGGCTGTGGCCGCATCTGAAGTTGGCCAGTACGTTGCCAAGGACTTTCTACTCAACAACTGGGCAACTGTGTGGGAAAGGTAAGAAGGAACCCGAGACGCAGTTTCATTTCGGTCATTAATTGTTTCTTTTTTTTTCCTATTTTGATCAGAGAACGCAGTTTGGATAATAATTTTTTTATTGTTTGAACATTTCAAGCATATGTAAGATGTGTTTTGATCAGACTCGTTCCCTTCCCACCCACATTATTCCATGTCGTGTGTTCTTTTTCTTTGTTAACCCACTTAATCTACTCAGTGCCTCCAGCATGCGCTTGGATGTAGGCCTTTCCATAAAGAGGAAGCAAGGCTCCTTCCAGACACCATAGGCTAGCAAACAAAGAGTCCAGTGCCAGGTATGATTGATCTCTTTTCCAAATGTTGATCAGTGGGGTCCAATGAACACCCCAGACATTATAGGCTGTGGACGTTGCTTATGGTTCCTCGGTCACTTTCTAGGGAGAAGTCACCTTCAGTCTGGCTATCTCATTCTCTATTCCCAGCACTTGGGAGGCTGAAGCAGGAGGATTGCCATGACTTCACAGCAAACTTGATACAGCTACATAATGAATTCCAAGCCAGTCTGGGCTACAATGGAAGACCCTAACAAACAACAAACAAGAAACAACAACATAAGACTATCTTGCTCGATCTCATAGCCACTAGCTAACATGTAGATATTTCAATTTACATTAATTAACGTTTTTAAAGGTTTAAATTCACTCTCAGTTCTATTATCCCTGTTTGAAGCATCCAGTGTGACAAGAGGCTGCCATATTGGACAGCCTAGCTAAAGCACATCTCCATTGTGGTACAGAAGTCAGTGGGGTAACACTGATGAAACCAAACTAGTCCCTCCATCATTTTGTTTCACGCAAAGACTGAGTGCAAATTAAAGCTTCAGATGGCATTAAGCAACTCACTAAGTCCTGAAATAAATGTACAGTGTCACCTGGGCCATGGAGAGAGCTCGTGTCCTGCTGTGATGCTGTCCTCACACTGGCACCTCGTTAGCCAGCAACTCGCTAAACTGGAAAATAAACCATGAGAACTTGTTTCTAGCCGAAGAAGTTATTCTGCCACATGTGCCAATAGTGACGTCAAGAGTAGCAGAAACCGGGGAGAGACATACAATGATATTTTTTGGGTACTTGTGCAATTTTTTTTCTGCACCGAGTCTGTGCCCTACCTCAAATGCCTTAATAATGGGAAAGGCTGCTTTTAATTTCGGTGGCTTCACATCTAATTTTTATTTCTCACAAGAATTTTTCTTGCCTTTGGAGAACAGGGAAATGTTGGCAATTTCCTACTAAGGCTTAAATTCTACTCTCAACAAAGTTGATTGTCTCACAATTGATTTATCTATATAAGCACATTAAATGCAATTATAGAAGGAATCCCTAAAACTAAACTTCTAAATGGGTCTTACTATCTTCATGAAGTTTTTAGGATTATTAGTGCAGTAACTTTTAATTGTGGCGTCATTACTTCTGTATTTTATTCCAGTGAACACTGAATTTATAGAAGTGAAAGACCCCCTTGTGCCTGAAAGACCCCTGTGCCCATGTATTATGTTAAACTCTGCTGAAATTTAGCTGACCCCCCCCCCCGGCTCAGTCGATGCTAAAACAGGATATCTATGGGTTGCAGACTCACTGACTAGGCTGAGGAGAGGGAATAATCCACCCTCCAAGACCCTCTATCTAAACTGTCAACTTGCTGCAGGGTGCTTTTTCTAGCTTTGTGGTTTTTCGGGGAAATTCGAGAACAGACATGGGGCTGTCCCCAGGATGAGCTAAGCCCGCCAATTTAAGAACCAGTGAAATACTTGTGCTATACTACCTTCTTCTGTAATCATTTTTCCCTATAAATATGGCTGCTTGAATTTTCTTGGTGTGCTCAGTTGGCGAAAGCTGCTGACACACCCGCAGGCGCCTGTGTGATCAATAAAGAAACCTCTTGCTTATTGCATCTGTTGGCTTGGATTATTGAGTCTGGGGGATCTCTCCCACTGCCCCTGAAATTGAGGGTCTTTCGGAAGATGCTATATTTATGGCAAATTGAATTTAGTTCACTCATTTTGCACATTCTACTACAAAGAGTGTTTTATACTCAATTAAATTTGCTTCAATTTAAAAATAAATGTAATTGAGTACATTTATTTTTACGGCTTGATTTATATTAGGAGAGTTGTTCAATTTTGCTAATGTTTTGTCTGAATAAACAGTAAAATTTATGAATTGTTGAAAGTAGAAGTTCAAATTAAAAAACACATATACTTAAATGACATAAGAATGTTTACTTAGCTCTTTACACATCAGAATATCTATGACTTATTGAAGTTATAGTCTACACTGAGCATGAATATACCACTGATCTTCATGACAAAGCCGATTCAAAAGGCACAGCTTTAAAATTTTTTTACAATCTGTTATTTTAGTTTTATAAACTTGCCATTTATTTTATATAAAGTTTATTTATATTTTATATTTTAAAAAATAAATAAATATTATTTATTTTATATTTTATTTATTTTATATAAAGTTTCCAAGAAAGAAACCCATGTTTTCTACCATTGCAGCTTCCTAATATCTTAGAGGCACAGCCCTTCTGAGCCTAGTCATAAATATACCAATGCCAGTAAAGTACATTTGCTAGTAGACCTGCTTCCTGGGGGGAAGAGAGCTATGAGAAACAGTGCTTTCCAGCTCTGCCATCTCAGACTGCAACCTGTCTGTCCTTTGTCTACTAATTGACATCGAGGGTTTGCTTTGTTCTCTACAAAATGGCAGCAATTGCGTTTGATAAAGCCTAAGGTCTCCCCTAGTAAGCTAACAGTGCAGTTGATTTGAATGTGTCAAGGACAAACTCAGAGTTACCAAGTTACCATCAGTGTCATATTCAGAAAAGAAATCAAAGCCTTCCTTTTGGTGTCCTGTAACCAAGAGTGAGCCCGCATTTGATTCCTTGCTGTAGGAGCTCCTTCCGCTCCTTCAGCCAATAGCCTTTAAGATACCAGCCACTTGGGCATGGTGTCTTTTACTTTAAAAAGCAGCAGTAGCCCTGCTCTCTCTCTCTTGCTTCCTGCTCTGCTTCCAGCTATTAGACTCTGTTCTTGGGTCACTCAAGAGGGCTGTTACCTAGTTCAGTGATCTGTAAGTTTTCCCCATAAATAACCCTTTTATTAATCATAATTCCAAACGGGTGTGTGATTGTTTTGTGACTTCTGTCTAGAATTCCTCATTTGCATCTTTTATTCTGTCTATTGAACAAGACTTAATCTGTGCCTGCCTGTACACTGTATTGTGAATCTGCCCTTGTGTCTGCTTTTGTCCTAGTGTGTCTGTCTTGTCTGAGTGTGTGTGTCTGTCCCTAGCAAACGGCTTTTGCCTGTATTTATTGAGCAGCACAGAAAGCATCAAATGGAGGAAAGGATGAGGAATCCTTTACAGAAATCTTAACAGAGTTTTACAAGGGATTAGGTCACTGACTCCAACAGACTCAAATAAATAGCATTACAGGCATTGTTTATCAAGCAATATCAATGTGTTGCTTTCAACATTTATGGTGGATATTCACCTTATAATACCACCTTTAGCCTATGTTTTCTGTTTTTAGCAAATGATTATCATAACATATGTACAAACATGCATGCATTACTTTTGAGCCAGGCATGGAAGGGTCCTGGATAGGTTCGTTCATTGTCTCAAGCACTCATGAACACATGTTAACTCAGTGTTTCTACTTCCTTTCTTTTAGGTATGGGGGTGCACACCTTTTTTCCCAGCATGTGGGAGACAGAAGCAGACAGATATCTGTGCATTTGAGGCAGTTTCTAGGACAGTGAGGGCTGAACAGTGAGACCTTGTCTGAAAATAATTAAATAACAAAACTATGTCAGCATGCATTGGTTTTTGTCTTCATAATAATTAGAATATGTTGGAAACTGATAAGGTCACTTATAGTATATATGCTTTAATCAGCAATATTGCAAGAGAACATTCTCCCAAGCAAGAGCAATATCCAGTAATGCCAGCATCATTTGTTCATATGCTTTCTTTTTTCTTACTTCAAAGATTTAAAGTTCTTGTCGTTCCACTTGATTGGTTAGAGTTACTCTGAGATATTTTATGCTATTTGTGGCTATTGTGAAGGATGATGTTTCTCTGATTTGGCTAAATCTATTTTTGTCATGGAATGTCTTGTTTTGTCCTTCTATGGTGATTGAAAGTTTTGCTGGGTATAGGAGTCTGGGCTGGCATCTATGGTCTCTTAATGTCTGCATAATGCTTGACCAGGACCTTCTGGCTTTCATTGTTTTCAATGAGAAGTCAGTTTTAATTCTGATAAGTCTGCCTTTATATGTTACTTGGCCTTTTTCCTTTGCAGCTCTTAATCTTTATTCTGTATGTTTAGTGTTTTATTATTTGGCAATGGGACTTTTTTTTGATCCAGTCTATTTGGTGTTCTGTAAGTTTCTTGTATCTTCATCGGCATGTCTTTCTTTAGGCTGGGGAAGTTTATTTCTATAATTTTGTTAAATTTAGTTTCTGTGCTTTTGAGTTATATTTCTTCTCCTTCCTCTATACTGGTTATTCTTAGGTTTAGTCTTTCCATGGTTTCCCATATTTCCTGGATATTTTGTGTTAAGCTTTTGTTAGATTTAATGTTTTCTTTAACTGGTGAGTCTATTTCCTCTATTGTATCTTCACTGCTTGAGATTCTCTCTTCCTATCTTGTATTCTGCTGTTTATGCTTGCATTTGTGGTTCATGATCATTTTCTCATGATTTCTGTTTCTATTCCTTCAGTTTGTGTTTTCTTTATTGTCTCTATTTCAATTTTCAAGTCTTGAATAGTTTCTTTCATATGTTTGATTGTTTTTTTTCTTGGTTTTCTTTAAGGGATTTGTTGATGTCTTTCAATTTTTTGTTTGTCATTTCCTCCATTTCTTTGAGGGAATTTTTCCTTTTAAGGGCCTCAAATATTCTCCTAAAGTTATTTTTAGGCCATTTTTCTTCTGCTTCATTTATATCTGGTTATTCAAGTCTTGTTGTTGTAGGGTCACTAGTTATTACTGGTGTCGTGTTGCTCTTTGTGGTGTTGCATGTGTTCTTACCTTATCTACCCATCTTTTCTTCTGACTGGTGTAGTGGGGGCTGTCTGTGGCTCTGGTGATCAATCTTCCAGGTGCCAGTGAATCCATGGCTCAATTGGTTGCTCCTTGTGATGCAGTCAGTGCCACAGTTACAGGCACCTCATTGGTCACTCTGTGTTCCTGGAGGTTGCTTGACTCTCCCAGGATTTGCTCTGCTCCTGTAGAGCAGAGCTGTCTCAGGCCTGCTCTGGCTTAGGTCACTGGCTCAGTCCTATTTCCATAAATGCCCCTAGTCTGTGTCCACTTCTGCTCTTGTGTAATTCGCTGTCTCAGGGCTGCTCTAACCTAGGTTGCTGGTTCAATCCTGCTCCTGTGGAGTTCCCTGTCTCAGGCCTGCTCCCTCACTCCTACCTCTTGATGTCTGCTTTCTCCTATGTCTGGTAGAGAAGTCATATCTTTAGTTCAGGAGACAGATTTTCTGTTTGGAAACTTGATTCCTGTATTATCTCATAAGTTTTTCTCTACTTGGATAATTAGAATGGAGATCCAAGTGCTGCTCTCCTGGCCCACAGTGCAAGCTTTGCTTGCCTGAATTGCACACAGGGTCCTGTTCACTCAGGGAGCTTCTGCTTCCATTATGTCTAAGACTCGGAGAGGTTAAGGTGCTAGTTCCCTCTCAGATTTCTGTAGATAACTAACTCTTATAATAACTCTTATAATTTGAAAATTCACAATTACAGTTTTTGAAGTAAATCAATTGTGTATATTAACTACCAAAGCAACTTGACTATTTCTTGTTCAGTCCACTATAATAATTCTATTTCAATTTTGTTTTTTTAATGCATCCAAAAATTCTTTTTCCCCCATGCTACAGCAGTACTTTGTACCGGTATGTATCTGTTCTTACTTTGAAACTCTTGACAATTTTTGCTTCCTAAATGGAGTTGGAACAATTATGGTACTGAGACACCTTGAGACTCAGAAGATAGAAATGAACACTCCAAACAAACAAACAAACAAAGCACCACACTCTAAATATACCGCAGGGTGGTTTAGTCAATGGTTTTGAAATTTATTCCATATTTTCAATCATTTCTGGAGGGGCCATAATTTACTTATTTATTTACACTCTTATACAGTTTCTTGCTTTGAGACACTGGATATGAATTCTAACTGCCCATAGAATAGATGTATGTAATTGTTGTTTTAAAAATTATACCAATACTTAAATAAAATTGCAAGTTTTGTTGCACAAATATAAATATTTCTTTAGTATTTCTAGTTCTCTATATAACAGATTTTCTACTTAAAGGTGAAGCTGAACAACTTCATGCATGTTCATTTAGATTTGTGAGGGTAATCTTGATGAGGCTATTGCTTATATTTGTCTATTGCTGGAACATGCAGCTTCTTTGCCAGGCAGTATTGTCCTCTGACTGGCACCTCATTGCTTCGCAGGTATGGACCAGAATCAGTAGATGCTCTGGTGTGGGTCATAGGGAGGACTGTAAGTACAGACCTACAGGTTATGGAGGTAAGTACTGAAATTAAAAATCATACACTTTCTGGACCATCTCACTTCATGCTTTGTTAGTGCTATTGGTATTATATTAGCCTGGTTTCTCTACAGGAACAGATCTGCTTGAATTTTACATTTTCTCTTTTTTTTCTCCCTTCCCCCCCCCTCTCTCTCTCACACACACACACACAAAGGAATTTATCAGAGTGGCTTACAAGCTGTAGACCAAGTAGTCCATCTATGACTGGCTCCTAATGGAAAAAGCAAGGATCCGTAACTGTTCAGGCCACAAAACTAGATGTCTTGGCAGTCACAATCTAGTGCTGGAGCCCCAAGAAAGTCCTAGAAAGCTGTCAGGTTTCAGTTCAGGTTACACTCCTGGAGAAGCATGTTCTAACCCTGGTGAAGGGTCTTCGTACCAGAACGCTGAACTTGACAGTGAGAATGAGGACACGCAAGCAGAAAGCAAAATCTCCCCTCTGCCATGTCCTGCCATGCGCCTGCCAACCAGAAGATGTGGCCCAGGTTTAATT